TTGCATCCGCAAGGTCATTCTCCATATTGTACATATTTTTTAAAACGTATATCCTCGAGTGCACAGTACGTGATCGAATTTCGGTGTGCTGATTCCCGACTACTATACTAATTAATTGGAGCCTATTAGCAACACTGTTATTTATAAAATCATAAATATAAGGTACCTGACCCAAATAAGGCCATGTACTTAATAAGGCCAGTGCCCCTTATTGCTTAATATTGAATCCCATCTTCAAAAATTACAATATTATTTAAAAAGATATCTATAATGCAAATCAAAAATTATTGCAAGGATTCGTAGCAACTCGTTATATGTCGAAAAATGGCCAACCACATATTTCATATGTCACGTTATAACTTTGAGGCTAGAACTTAATTAGTTTATACACCATGTTCATAAAGGGAATGGAACGAATTTAATTTTTACACGGACATTTATGTATTGAGAAAGCCACAGAGTAAGTACAGAATAATATCTTTTCTAGATTTCTAGTTACAGACTTTTCTTCATCAATGTAACATGTTCTTAATAAGGCCACATGAAAAATTTTCAATTGGCCTCACATCACAGTGTTTTTTTAAAAGAACGTGTCATATTATAACTTAAGTGATGTGTTTTAGAGCGCCTGGAGTCTAACCAAGCAAGAAAAGCTGCGGTTCAGTTGTCCTAGTTGTATGTAGACCTATTTGGATCACCATCCCAGGACTTGAAATTATTGTTTTTTTAGAATGCAGCAAACGTTGAAGTTCTATTTTGAGAACTTTTTGTCAAAAAATAATATTTTCATAAATTATTCTATTTATTTTAAACATTTTTTATTGATGGCCTTATTAGGAGCATAGTGGTACAAATAAGGCCAATGGCAAGGGTCTTTGTTTTACGCAAAAACCACCACTTATATGTAAAAATAAATAAATTGGGGTTAATATTCAAGTAATAGAAGCGAAACACTTCACATATAAGCTCGTGAATTTTGTCGACTTTGGTGGATAGTGTTCAGAAAAAATAAAATTTCTTAACATGGCCTTATTTGGGACAGGTACCTTATATGTAATTTTTTTATTTTTTTTTGTTATTGATAATTTTTTTTGAGTTTTTTTATAAACACATTTAGTCGTTTTTCATTTTTTATCTCAACAGGCAAACTATTGTAAACAACTGATGCCGCACTCAATGGGCTCTGCAGTGCTTTATTTGTTCTTGCACTACCCAAACGAATATTTTCATTGTTTCTTAGATTGTGCTCATGAGTTTGATTTATAATTTGTATCCTACTATTGCACTTAGACTTGTTATTTAAAATTTTAAACATTAGTATTGCTTGTTCAAGAACCAGTATCAAGTTGACAGGCTGAATTTCAAGCATTTGGTATATGGTTTCAGTGTGAGTGAAATAATTCAAATTGAACAAAATTTTCAAAACTTTGTTTTGTAGTATTTTAACTTTATTGAAATTGGTTTGATTGCAGGTCCCCCAGACTGGGATCAAGTATCTTATAATTGATAAGAAGTAGGCATTATATATTTTATATTTGGCATTTAGGGTTAAGAAGTGCCTGCATCTATATAGTGCTCCTATTAAGGGCAGAATTTTTTCTTTCATAAGATCAATGTGTGCACCCCAGTTTAGCTGTTCATCAAGCATTAATCCCAGATATTTAATTTTATTGGTTTTTTCAACAATGTTGTTATTTATTAGTATGCAAAAATTGTCAATTATTTTATTTTTTTGCTTGAATATAATATATTTTGTTTTATCTATGTTAATTTTTAGTTTATTTTGTAAAAGCCAGTAGTAATATTGTTTTAAGTCTCCATTAGCTTTATGTTGAAGGGCTGCTGAATTTTCATCTTTATATATAAGAACTGTATCATCAGCAAAAGTATAGTATTCCACATGCAAGCCTGCCAGACGCAAACTTAACACAAACAAGGTATACAACAAAGGACCCAACACAGAACCCTGTGGCACTCCACAGTTAGTTGTTACTACTGTACTATTGTAATCACCCAGAGTTATGTATTGGTGAAGGTCACTCAAATAAGATTGAATAAGATCATAAGTTACACCTCTAAAACCCATATTTCTAAGCTTACTTAATAACAATGTATGATCGACAACATCAAATGCTTTCCTTAAGTCAACAAAGACTGCCAAAGCAATATTACCCTGGTCCAGACTGTTTGATAGTGAGCTAATCAGGTCTGCTGTGGCACCTAAGGTGCTACTGTTACTTGTAAACCCATATTGGTAGGGATCTGGCGTGATATATTTAGTCACAAAGGACATAATCCTTTTTTTCAAAACAACTTCAATAATCTTGGAAAAAACACTGATTAGAGATATTGGTCTATAGTTATTTTTCGATGTTTTTGATCCAGACTTAAATATTGGACAAATTTTTACAATTTTCAACTCATCGGGAAATTTACCTATACTGAGTGTATTATTTATTAATACTGTTAATATTGTTACTATATTTTCCTTAAGATTAATTATATTTTGCACTGTCAACCCGTCCCTACCCGGAGCAGCTCCTCTCTTAAGATTCATTATAATATCACTTATTTCTAATTCATTATTAGTTGGTTCTAAATATATACTATTATCACAATCAATCTTGTTCAATATTACCTCAGTACCAACACTATTTTTTTCAACTTCGATTTCCTTAACTATTTCCGAGCCTATATCTGTGAAAAGTGTGTATTCAAAGTATTCGCAATTACCTGAGCATCTGTGACTATTGTGTTGCCAATCTCTAACTCATGTACACTCTCTCTATTGGGACTTCTTTTAATAAATGAGTTGATAATGTTCCATTGCTTATTTTTATTTTCGCCAGCTTGTTGCCATTTATTCCGAAAAAACATATTTTTTAAAACTTTTATTTTGTTATTTACACTGTTTTTGAGAGATTTGAAATTTGTTTTTAATTGAATGTTGTTAGGATTTTTTTTGTGATTTTTATATGCATTATCCCTATCTTTTATTAATTTAATTAAATCTGGTGTAACCCAGTTATTATTTACATGACATTTAATTACTTTAGTTTGTTCTGATTCCTGTTTAGCTTTGTTGATTATTTCTATCAGTTCATGAAATGTTTTTATTTCTAAATTGTCAACTTTTTGACTAAATTTGTGTTTAAAGCTCTCAGTATTAAGATATTGCTTTGAATACACGTCTTTTGTTTAGAAAATAGTACTTTTTCCTGTACCTTTAACAATATTCTTTTATGATCAGAAAGGAGATTATCCTCAATATTTATCTTACATCTAGACTTCAATGACCCATTACATAAAATATGATCTATTATTGAGCATGAAGACTCAGTTACTCTAGTAGCATCAGAAACCTTTATATTATTTACAATTACATATCTATTTAATGTAACTAGCTCTTCATATTCTTTGGTCAACAAGGAACCCTCATTTAATAAATTAATATTTATATCACCCAAAACTACATGATTTGACTTATGTTTATTTAATATCACCTCTAAATCATCTTTTTTTAGTGTATCTATCTGAATAATCAATAAAAATCGTACAAAAACTACAGACTGATATTTTTTTTCTGCACAAAAACAACCGACTTGATCGCTGGGTACGCCCCTGGGAATTCTGGATCAAATCTAATTAGTCCAGTAGATATCTGATAATGGTTGAAATAAACCGTGAAAATTTTATTGAAATCGGCAAAAGCTTTTTTGGATTATTAATAAAAAACTATTTTTTTTTGAAAAACGTATCACCCTGTATCTTGGAAACAAAGCCTTTCCGGACCTATATCTATAGGAACTTTTTTAATTATTTTCATGAATACTATCTGCCCTTGAAGTTTGTAACACCATTTCTGAAACACCCTGTAGGTAATCATTTGCAGATTTGCAAAAAAACATTGCAGATGTCTTCGGAAAATGAGTTGGTGCCATTCTTTGGTCGCCAGTCTACAAAGATGTATACAATTTTGTAATTTTTCCTTGATTTCTCTGAAAGTGATGCTAGAGATGCTACTTGTGCTGATGCACGAATTTCTGGAGGGGTGCATGGAATTTTGTTTTTACTGTCGGAATGCATGAGAAACATGTGTTAAATACAATTTAAGTTCAACTGCAAACGTTTAATATACTTATTCTGTCAAAATTAAATATTTAAGTTGCCCTATTAGTAGCAACAATCCAAACAAGCTTGATTCTATTTTGAAACGCTGTCAATGTTTTCATGTTATGGAATACATATAAAAATGTACCTAGATTGCATGGGTGTGGAATATGAGATTCATATTTCACAGGTGCGTAATATGAGTTACATTATGTGGTTACTATCACAAGCAAAATGCGTCTATTATTTAATAGTCGTAGATAAACAATTTATCATCATACACAGGTATACTAGCTGGAGATATGTGCGAATAATTTCTATATCTGAACTTGATCAACAATCAAACTGTTCTCAAAACATCTAATTAAACAATGTTTATCACCTATTGCCTTTACTTTACATAAGTCCAATGTCAATTAATTTTAACATAAGTAAACCAAATCAGAAATTGATATGCAGATTTTTGTTTCTTTTCCATTTTGATCCTTTGAAAAAGCATAAAGCTCTTCAAAAATCATCTTTGAAGGTTTATGACTTTTTTCAGCAACTTTGTAAAAACTTCCAGAGAAGATAAACTAACTGGTATTTCTTCTACAAGAAGTTGATATGATACTCAGAAAAGAATTCAGGGTCAGAGGTTTTTTTCTTTTTTCCTTAAAAAATTCCAAACCAATGTGAAATTCTCTGATGAATTGGTACATCGCAGCAACTTGAAATTTTCAGAATTTATAAATAGATGCTTCTAAAATATAAACCAAAAGTTGATATGAACCTTGGCGAGGAATTTGTAATTCCTCCAAAATCAACTTTTTCTGATGATGTATAATGAATACTTTGACGCATTACAGCAACTCAGTTTTTTTATCAAATTATTTGAATGAAGCAATTACCCATCAAATATCATAGCGTCCAAAGTGGATTCTCCATTCTCATCGGGGCTTCCACCATAGCCTACTGTAAAGTCGCATTGCAACGATTGACAGGTTCTACAGCCTTCTACTAATGCACTGACGGATTTGCCAGTTTTTTTAAGTTCTTGCCATGCTACAAAAATAATTTAAGTATTATAGAACAAATGTTGAAAATTCCACTTCTCACAAAACCCAATAATAATTTGTTAATTTGTACCTGTTCAGTAAATAGGTACTTGTTCTGAATAGGTGAAAAGCTTGACAAGTGTAAAAACATTATTGTAATGTATTTATTTGGCATGAATAAATATTGTATTCTTGTATTCTTCTTGTATAAATTTTGTCTGCTTGTGTGATAATGAGAAACGTAATTTAAAAACCATTTAGAAATTAGAGCAGACCTTATTTATTAGCATAAACATGTTCAGCTCTACAAAAATCATAAACTTGATCCCAAACAAGCACTACTGACCGTAGAAATCATGACAGATTTGTTGGACAAGCAATCCCTATTACAGACTGAATTTTTCTTACCATTTGCTGTTGCATCAGTGAAAGTCCATGTATTAACCACTAACGGAATGTCGGCTAAGGAAAATTGTATCAAACAACAAACTAAAATGAATATTTTTAGAAAGATCGTCATATCTTATAACTTGGACTAGTTGTATTTATTAAAATTAAACCAGTCACTTCGTTTTCCACTTCTGATAATATGATGCTACTGTTTCCAACCATTGAATTAATAACTTGTTCAGCTTTTTTGAGATGTGCTTTCTTGCCTCAAACTATGTATTAGCAATTATTTATAAAAATTAGCCGAATCTATATTTTCTACTGAATAAATTACTTCTTATTATGTATACTAGCTAATGCAATTATTATTATTTTTCTAAATTGATAAGAGATAACAAAAAATCATATCAGTTCAATAAAAGTGACCACTTAACCTTTATTGTTTATTGTGCTTGAGTTTAATTGAAAATGTAGTGTTATAGTGGTGTCGCCTCAAATCGATCGTATGGAGTCGATGCGTTGATTTTGATATTGGGAAGCAATAATAGTTATTTATGATATAAGTGTTAAAAGTACATTTTTAAGGCACGCATGTGAAAGCTTGCAGAATGAGCGAAGCGATGAGGCGGCCAATCGGGCTACCTCAGTTGTTCAAATTTCACCATTAATATCAATGTAAATAACTGAAAATACAAACTTTTTTTGACGTCCGCTCTCAACATTTGATATTTCACTTTTAACACTAGTGCTATAAAGACTTTATGGCACTAGTCAGCGGCGGATTTAGGATTCCTTCTAGGGGGGGGCGATCCATCAGGGCCTCAGGCTCAGATAAGAAATAATAAAAAAACGACTTAAATATACAGAGTGGCAAAAAAGTCGCGTTTAATACCTGTAACTTTCTAATTACCTCGTATACGAAAAAGTGACCTTAATGAAAGTTGCTCAGTAAATGAGGGACATAAAGCTTCCGTATTTTTTGCTCGGTATCCGTATCGGTATCGTACTGCGCATGTGCAGAAGCGATACGGAGGCCGAGATACCGTACGTACAACGTAACGTTACGGCCCTCTCGCGGTATCCGTATCGGTAACGTATCTTGACATTCCTGACGCATGTGTCAAATTTCAAATGAATATAACCTCCCTTTTCTTCCGGGTTGATTTAATTTGTTTAGTTTATACTTTCTTGAGTTTCTTGTGTGTTTAGTGCTTCTCTATCGCAAAAAAATAACAATTTTAAGGTTAGATATAGAAACGCCGAAGTTTTGAGACAAAAATATCTAGGTTATGAAATGCGTTTACGTTTACCGGAACAGGGAGCGCTTTAACAGCCTTTTCGCTTGTCAACGTATCTAGTTGCGTTACGGATACCGATACCGATGAATTATTTCAAGTAGCTTTATGTCCCTAATATTTCCCACAATTCTACTTAAACGTATTGCCTGTGTCACTTCTGGTTTGTTTGCTATCTAGACCAACTTTCTTTTTTTCAAATAAAACACCCTGTATGTGATTGCATATTTGGATTCTACGTAAAATTCTGAGCAGATTTCATGTGATATACCCTATACCTAAGTTCAACTGTTTTGGAAATATTGACAGTTGAACATTGACTTTTTGCAACTTTGACAGGCTGTAAAACCTGAACGGTTAATTTCAGAGGAAAACCGATTTCACATTCCTATCTTAGATTTTCATAAACTATCATTTGACATCAACATTTAATTTAATCGGAGATTAAATTTAATTGGAATTTTCAATTATAGATTAAATTCAAAGTTGGTGCGGATTTACGTCATCCGCAGTCGATTCGCTCCCAGCTCGCTGCTGCCAAACGTATTTAAAAGTATTAAAAATTTGGAAAAATAGCAAAAACCATATGGAATTTCATGTTGGATAATGCTTGATGAATATGTTTGTGTTTTCGTTAAAAATTTCGTTGTTGCGTCGCTCAATAGGGGGGGGCGCGCGCCCCCCGCGCCCCCCCTCTAAATCCGCCACTGGCACTAGTACGATAAAGTAACATTTTTAATGCTTCGGGGCGGTGTTGAAAATTGCATTTTTAACACGTTTGTAGAAAAAATATTAATTAGGTAATCGATGTTTTAGTTAGATAGGTATTACCTATAATTACATAGGTAGGTACCTACCCATTATATGTACAGTGAGCACGTAAAGGTTGGAATAAAATCTATAAAATATACAGGGTGGATATTTTTCAAAAAACCTGAGACACGTCAATTTTTGATTCTATTGGCCGTTTTTTTGATGATAATACCATGTATACAGGGTGACCCCAAAACAAGTTACGACAGCTAACTTTATTTTTTAAATGAAAACACCAATTTTTTATTTCATTTTCAAATGAGGTTTTTTTCTGTTGCTCGCTGACATATGACGTTTTCGAAAGTTTTTTCATATTTTCCTTCACAGGTTTCATCAATTGGAATACGTGTTGGAAGCAATTTTCGCCATTTAACATAATGAGTGCGACAAAAACAGGTATCCCCTCCGCAGCAGCTTCACTAGGCTTCATGTTCTTCCTTATGTGTTAGCATTCCGGTTTTTGGTTATAGTTCATTGCCTATACCTATCTTCAACTGTTTCGGAAATATTGACAGTTGGAACTTGACTTTTTTGCAACTTTGACAGGCTGTAGAACCTAAATGATTAATTTTATAGCAAAGCCGATCATAAATTCTTCGTCTTAGTTTTCTATAAACTATCATTTGACACCAACTTTGAATTTAACCGAAGATTGAATTTAGCCGGAATTTTTAACCATGGATTAAATTCAAAGTTGGTGTCAAATGATAGTTTATGGAAAATTAAGAAAAGGAATTTATGATCGGTTTTGCTATAAAATTAACCGTTTAGGTTCTACAGCCTGTCAAAGATGCAAAAAAGTCAAGTTTCAACTGTCAATATTTCCGAAACAGTTGAAGATAGGTATAGGACTTTGTTTGTTGAAATTGATGTTTTCATTTAGAAAAATTAAGTTAGCTGTCATAACTTGTTTTTGAGTCACCCTGTATACATGGTATTATCATCAAAAAAACGGCCACTAAAATCAAAAATTGACGTGTCCGAGGTTTTTTGAAAAATATTCACCCTGTACATTTTAGTAGATTTTATTCCAACCTTTACGTGCTCACTGTATAATATGATGTGTAGTTTTCCAAATTTGTCTCTGTATATTTTTTCCCCTAGTTCATGAAGTTTTTGATAATTTTTCGATTTTTTTATTTTCTCTTACATACAATTGGTGTAGGTTTGGTTTAAGTCCAATTTTTCTGATTCTAAGTCCCTTTCTGATACTTTTACATCATCTCTCAGAACAGAATTGTTGATGTTAGCCTTTCTAAGCAAAGCATCTCCTTGATAGTCTTTCGGAAATTGTACCACAATCTGGTAGGTAGTTTCTTCGATTTCAGGTCATTGAAGACTTTTCTAGGGACAGTACTACGTCTTTGCGTTACCTGTTCACGTTAGTATATTATATCGGGTCTTCAAAAACCAATCAAAGATTGCTATGGTTTTTTAAACGTATGTCTTAGCAATATTTGTCTTTAATTTTGTCAATGAAATTTAATGTCAAAATGTCCTGTCAAAAATCCTGACGAATAAAGAAACAGTAATGCGACGTACGTTTTCGTAGTCAAAGCAATCTTCGATTGGTTTTTTTTTTGAAGACCCGATATTATTATATTATAAAAAAAAAAACAATCAAAGATTGCTATGGTTTTTTAAACGTATGTCTTAGCTATATTTTCCATTAATTTTGTCAATGAACTTTAATGTCAAAATGTCATGTCAAAAATTTTGACCAATAAAGAAGCAATAATGCGACGTACGTTTTCGTAACCAAAGCAATCTTTGATTGTTTTTTTTTTGAAGACCCGATATAATAAGTGTGGTAACTAGGTTATTACCGCACGCGAGAGAAACTTGCAAACCGAGCCGGTTAGGCGAGGTTTGCAATTTCTTTAGGCGGTAATAACCTAATTAACATACGTATTATATACCGTATTTTATCTACAAGCGTGCGGTAACAAAATATCCGAAAGAAATTTAAAATAATAGAGATATAAAAAAAATGCGTCTGTCACCTTTGACAGCGGACAAGTAGATTTTAGGTGATAGGTAGGTAATTAAAGGTCTTTGAATATAAAACTATAGGAAGGAGCGTTTTCTATCTGTCGCTACAGACAACGCAGGGACGGAAACGGCCATATTGAGCCTCCAAGTATGGACTCATCATTTGTTTTGGTGGTTCGCTGTGTTCTCATTCAAGTGGATGTTTAATGGAATGGTTTTAAGTGATAATAAGCACTGGGATTAGTATGAAAAGAATTACTCATAATATTGACAATCATATTTAAATAAACATACGCCACTGCCAAACCGGAAATACTGATCGGCCATATGCAACCTCCACATATTTTGGTCGCGCAGATTTGAAGATATACTCCTTCCTGTAGTTTTATATTCAAAGTTAAAGGTACAGGGTTATTGGTTATAAATGTCACCTCCCTCTATCTTTTTTATTTGACATTTTAGAAAAAAGTGTCTCAAATAAAAAATGTATGGTTGAAATTAAATTTTTTGAGAACTCCACTTTTGTATATACAGAGTGTTTCAAAAAAGCTGGTAGTGCACCAACTTTCTTATTTTAAATCGAATATCCTGTATATTATTCAATATTCGGATTTTACATAAAATTCTGAGCAGATTTCATGTGACATACCCTATACTCAAGTTCAACTGTTTTGGAAATATTGACAGTTGAAAATTGACTTTTTTAGCATATTTGACAGGCTGTAAAACCTAAACGGTTAACTTTTGAGCAAAACCGATCTTACATTTTTTTTCTAATATTTTCACAAGTTATCATTTAATACCAACTTTGAATTTAACCGGAGATAAATTTAATTGGAATTTTGAATCATGGATTAAATTCAAAGTTGATGTCAAATATTGGTGTCAACTGATAGTTTATAAAAATATAAGACAAGAATGTAAGATCGGTTTTGCTCTAAAATTAACCGTTTAGGATTTACAGCCTGATGTCAAAGTTGCAAAAAAGTCAATTTTCAGGTGTCAATATTTCCAAAACAGTTGAACTTAGGTATAGGGTATATCACATGAAATCTGCTCAGAATTTTATGTAGAATCCGAATATTGAATAATATACAGGGTATTCGATTTAAAATAAGAAAGTTGGAGCACTACCAGCTTTTTTGAAACACCCTGTATATGCAAAAGTGAGTTTTCCAAAAAATTTAATTTCAACCATACATTTTTTATTTGAAACACTTTTTTCTAAAATGTCAAATAAAAAAAATAGAGGGGGGTGACATTTATAACCAATAACCCTGTATGTACAGGGTGGGCCAAATTGGACACTTTCTTATGGAAACACCATTTATTTTTAGAGATAGAAAAAAATGGTCCTCCCACTCTGAGGCTCAAATTTCCTGAAATTTTGATTGGTGCAAACCGCATTTTGATATCTTCAACCGTTTAGCCGCTAGAGGGCGATTCTCGATTTTGAGCAATACTGTAAAGCCTCCATAACTTTCTTGTTTATGAAAATAATTCATTTCCGTAAAGACCTTTTGGGAGCACTTTTTCAAGCAGAATTCAGTGACATTCTCAGTTTTTTCTGTTTGAATTCGTTTGTAGGAAGCTATGATAAAGAAAAACCGTGAAAAACATCCTCAAAAATCGATTGAACATATTTTAAATATACAGTTTCATTTGAAAATTTTAAGAAAAATTGGAAACATTCAATGGTTTTCAAATATTGACCCATATAGCGTCAGTCCTACTAACCAGAATTTAAATTTTTCACAAGAAAATTAAAGAACAGACTCTTGTCTTTCCAACAAACCTGAGATCGACCATCGACCAGATTCGTTTAGTCGTTTTGAAGTTATCCGCTTTCTTGAGTTGCAATATTTGACAGCTCATAACTATCTTATCCGATAAGTTCTAGTAAAAAGTCATGAATCAAAATTGTGTGAAATTTCATCAAAAATTTATTGCCAGCATTTTCAAGATACGTTTCCATTTGAAATTTAAAAAATAAAACCATTTTTGTACTTTGACAGTTGGGTTACGCCCCCTTACGGTCATTTTAGAAAGCTGAAATATATTTCCAGCATTTTCTCTTGGCCATATTTATGGGATAATTTTTTTCCGACAAGACTACGATGAATAGTTTTTGAGATATGGCCGAGTGCCATTCTTAATGAATCACCCAGTACACGGCCGATCGAAGCAAATTAGTTTGCACGGTTTGATTTCGAGACCGCTCCGAAATATTCGGAGCAAGTTTTGAAAGGACGTGTTTTCAAGTGGAGGTTTTTATATACCTATTTACAAAAATGGAGAAACGTGTTTGAAATAGGAAAGAAACTTTTTACTTTTACCAAATTGAGCAAATAATCGAAGTCTTCTGCCGACATTCGTAAAAAAAAATTCAAACACAGTGGATCTTCACTTCTCAACTCAGCGAGTAGCTGAATCCAGTTTCTCACCCACATTTTCCTTCGCTTTTTGACATTTTCCTTTTTTTTAAATTTGATTTTTCAATTTGATATATATCACAACTGCAGCAGCAGCAGCGGCAATTTGCCGGAATGACATTGTGTGTACACGTTTCAGTAAAGAACTAGGCAAGTGGGCTTGCTATAGTAACTTGCCAGAAGAAAAATTGGAAACAGTTACGATACAGTGTAGACACACCAGCAAGTACTTGCTGAAAAAACTATCGCAAGTTACTTGCAAGTGGACACGAGCCTTTGAATTGCCATTTAAATGTCATTAAATCCTTCATAATAGCACTATAGTGCGTTAAAGAATTCATAAAAAAGACTCAAATTATGAAATGAAAACCAGATGTCAAATTTTTGACTTAACGCTTCCTAGACAAATAACTACCTATCTAATTAATGATTGTCAGGTTTTAATATCTTTTTTTTCAATTTTTCAATTTCAAAAATGTCCCAGTGAAACCTATTGAGATTTTTTTTTTTTTTTTTAAAAGATGGCGTTCCCATTTAAAAAAAAGATCAATAACGTCATATCTTGGAGAGGAATTATTTTTTTTCCTATATCTCTGTGTAACTTTTCCCTACACGTCTTCTTATACCTATTTCCAGAATTTCATCAAATTTCATCGAGCTGTTTTCTCAGAAAAATGCCAACACACATACATACATTGAAACTTGAAATATCATGTACAGGGAGGTCAAAAAATAGGAAAATATGAAAATTTTTGTTACTATCCAAACTGGGGATGACCAAGAACTGCATGATGGTCTAATTATATCATCTAACATTTTTTTGATTTGTGTGTTAACTTCTATTTTATGAATATAGGGGTATCTATATGTTTTTGTATGAATAGGAATTTCATCTTTAGTCTTAATCGGATGTTTTACTTGATTTGTATTTGTAAATGTCAATTTATCATCAGGTTGATAAAAGATTTTTGGAAAAGCGTGTATAACAACTTTTAGTGCAGCAAGCTCTTCTGTATTAAAATGATTAGTACGCAATGGATCTAAAGATTCTAGAGATTTTGTTACATACTCATAATTTTGTAATAATTATCGTCATTATAAGGAAGTGCTAATGAGTCTTCTAGATCATCAATATGATAATTAATCACTATAGAATGATCTGTCAAATTATGGAATTCTAGAGGAATTATTCCATTTTCAACTTTTATAATTGTTGATGGTATAAGGATATTATCATCTTGGCTAAGAGGAGTTTAAATTTCTGTTCCATTTACTATATTCGTATTGAAATCACATATTTGAATGGTTTTAGCCGGAATTTCAATGTGTAGATTATTAAAATCTGTTTTAAATTCAAAAGGAATATTAATTGTTTCACCATTATGAAGACACATTCTTGTAAAATCGATATTTAGATTATTATCTTGAATTGCTTTGATTCCTGAAATTACATCAAAGTAATCATGAAAATTATACATTATCAATTCGATATTTTTATTTATATTAAATTCATGTTAAATTGGAAATTTAATTTTTCCATGGGCCTTTCTAGTTCCCATACAAGTTGTTAATTTATTTTGTGAATTTATTATTTTTCAGTCTCAGGAGATTCTGAGGAAAAATCGTAATTTCCTTCTTGAGAATCAGAGAAATTTTGTTCTGATTCTTGGTTTTGTTCTCGTTCTGGTAAGTCTACTTCAAAAATATTATTTATTTCTTCAATCGTATATATAAGAGGTGGAACTGCGTTTGGGTTCGACTTGAAGTATCGATTAGTAAATTTTATTTTCAGTAAATTAGTGAATAGTGGGTCATATGCTTTTTCTATGCCCTTTTCAACGAGCTATCGCACTTGAGGCCGAGGTTACCCAATTCTCTAATTCTTAATTCTTTCTTTAAAAATACCAATGTTAAATAAATTGAACGAACTTTTTAAGAATTAAGAAATTAGGGACAAATATTAAGAAATAAGAAATTGGGTAACTCCGCCTAATACGCGGTAGTGGGTACCATTATATTTGAAAAAAAAAAGTGGGGGCGTTTAATTTTTATTAGAATATTTTTCCTATTAATACCTACCTAAAGTGCGTTTTCTATTTAAAGATAAAAGTCAAAATGACATTATGTTGGCAATACAATGTAAAATTGTCAATGTTTTCAAATTTTTTGTGTAGAAAAGGCCTGTATTGCCAACATAGTTACTAAATTTTTGACTTGGGGAATTATCTTTAAAAAAAAAACGCACTTTAGTTGTGTTGTAGCTGCATGGTGGTGCATAATTTGGAAAAATTAAAATTCTATACTTTACGTTATGGAAATAATAAGGCAATTAAAATTAGGTATCTGATTTTCATAAATAATTCTGTTGAGAATAATTGTTAACTATGTAGTTAAAATATTGACACACTGCCTGTACCTACTTAGAAGAACAAAACAATAATTTTTTAAACTCCTGTTATCCTATCAACAACACAACAATGACAAATATTGCACAATCAGGAATATTTACAATAATTATCTGATAATGAGAACTTTTTTCCGCGTCCCAATAAAAACCAGACTTTAGACAGTCAACGACACATAGAAAGTTTGTTCCTACAAGAAATCCTACACTCTCTACACTGGTTTAGCGTTAATCGACTACTTGAAAAACGATGCTCAGACTATTTTTAATAATAAATAATTTCCCTCGACTCTTTCCTGATTGTTGCTGGAACACACTTGAAATATTATGCGCATTATATTTTTTTGACCTTCCTTTCTCCATGCATAATGCATCATCATCTTCGGTTCAGTTAGTTGCGGTTTATTTTGCCCCGGTACCTCGTCTAGATGCGAATCTTAAACAAAGGTCATCAAGCTTTTAAGTTTTAGTTTTGTGTTATTGATCGATAATAATGATTCTTTTTGCAATAATCGCCATAGTTTTATTTATAGTGTATGTTAAATGGCGGCATTCTTATTGGACCAGACTCGGCATATACCAAATGCAACCAGAATTCTTTATTGGCAATGCAAGGAGCGTACTTACTGGTAAAACATCATTTGCCCAAACGGTCTATGAAAGATACAATTCAATAAAAGCAACCGGACAACAATGCGGAGGGATCTATCTGTTTTTAGAGCCCGCTGTCTATTTTATAGACCCGAAACTGATAAAAACAATTTTGCAAAAGGATTTTCAGTATTTTATGAGCCACGGCTTGTATCATCATCCCAAAGATATCTTGTCTATGAACCTTTTCAATATGGAGGGGGATGTTTGGAGGAACCTTAGAGCTAAATTGACTCCCACGTTTACTAGTGGGAAAATGAAAATGATGTTTGATACTATTATAGAGAAAACTAATGGTTTAGAGGCCATGGTTGATAAATTCGCGAGCAATCAGCAACCCTTTGCCATAAAAGAAGCTTTGGGCAGGTTTACGACGGATATAATTGGCAGTTGCGCTTTTGGAATCGAGTGTAACTCTTTGGAAGATCCAGATAACCTTTTTAGGGCTTATGGAAAAAAAGTATTTGAGCCAAACTTATACAGGTTTTGGCTCTTTAATCTATTACCGTGGTGGTTTCTGGGCAATATCGGCTTCAAGTCAAACGGCAGAGACGTTTCGGAATTTTTTATAAAAGTTGTAAAAGAAACGATAAAAACGCGTCAAGAAAATCAGATATTTCGTAAAGATTTCATGCATTTGTTATTGGAACTGAAAAATATGGAAATAAATGAAAAAAACCCATTAACGATTACTGATGACGAAATTGCAGCTCAGTGTTTCATCTTTTTTCTCGCCGGATTTGAGACTTCGTCGACCAATATGACGTTTGCCCTGTTGGAGTTGGCTCAGAATCCTGAGATTCAAGAAAAGTTAAGGGATGAGATTAATGATGTTATTGAGAGACATGGTGGGAAAATAACGTATGATGCTGTTATGGAAATGAAGTATTTGGATATGGTTATCAACGGTGAGTAGATTTTTGTTCTTGATGCATTAAGTATTTGAAAAAAAAACGGTTTAAAATCAATAAATTAATGTCACATTTCTCTATTTCCTACTTTTTTTTTGCAGAAACCTTGAGAAAATTTCCTCCTGTAACAATACTTCCAAGAATATGCACAAAGGACTATGAAATTCCCGGAACCAAAAGTACAATAAAGAAAGGAACTAGGGTACATATTCCAGTATGGGGCCTTCATAGGGATCCAGACTACTATCCGGATCCGGATGTTTTCGATCCAGAAAGGTTTAATGAAGAAAACAAATTGAAGAGACCTGATTTTACTTTTTTGCCTTTTGGCGAAGGACCTAGAATGTGTATAGGTAAAAATAATATGTTTTTGAATTGTTCCATAAAAATCATGAATCAAATTCAATGTGTGACATAAGTTTCTCGACGTTTGAGAGAAGTCTTAATTTTCTATTTCTTTCTGGAACAAACTTGAAATTGGGAGTAGGAATTACCTATGTTTAGTTCAGTTACCAAGGGTTTTTTCCAGGCAAAAAATGTAGAAGTTTTGTTCTCAATGTTTCTATATGTTTTTGGCTGAATCCGAATAATCAGAGGTTCGCCACCTCGCAAGGCGACGGCTTTACATGGAAAATTGCAAAAAAACCTCGAGTTTTCGGCACTTTTTCAAGTTTTCAATTACAGTTCCCCCCATATTGTTCACTACATATGAGTTTTTTTTATTAATGTAGATATGGAAATGCGAAAAGTGGTTGAGTTAGATGGTAGAATATCGGAAAAAAGTTATTTGAACACTGAAACACCATTTCTGAACCTTGGATGACTGAACTACTATTTAATTCCAATTTTATTTTTCATAGAACATCCGCTATGATTGCGCAATTTTATTATAAGTACCTAGTGAAATAATTGCTAGTGTTTACCAATAATAATTATTACTAATACTATAGAAGGATGATTGATGAAAATTATTATATTTAAATCGAATTTCGCCGACATTTGTTGATGTTTGAAATACAAGTTTAGTTATATTTAACATGTAACCAGAGATGCCACTATCAGTGAGATGATATTGAGAATTTCATACATCTGTCAAAACTGGTATTCCAACAATAAATTGACATGTTTTGATTGTTGATTTGAACCAATCAGATTGTAATTACGCGATAATTTGCAGCACTAGTGCAAATTATCAGATAATTGCATACTAACTGGTGCGAAAACTGGTGTTTTGACATTTTTTGACAAAAAATTTAAATTTTTGATTTATGAAATTCTCTCATTAAATACAACTCGTGCAATGGAAATATATTTATAATTTTCGACAAATTTGCACTCATGCGTTTTTAACTGAAAAAGGCACTCGTGCACTACGTGCACTCGTGCTCTTTTTCAACTAAAAATCCATTCGGGCAAATTTCCCAAAAATTATCGAATGTAATACCACAAGAGGTTTCAGGATTACCGGATAATACTTTTACCTGTCACGAAACGCGTTACGCAGCAACACCACGACTCCGAAGGAGGAGTGGTGTTGCTGGTAACGCGTTGAGTGTCAGGTAAAAATATTAGGTAATCCTGAAACATCGAGTGGTATTCAAAAGGTTATACAACGAACTAAACTTCAATACTTTATCAATCTTTATAATCATTAAAGACAAATTGACAATATTGCCACCAAGCGCGATAATCCCAAAAGGCTTATCACTTATTAAGCCTCTCGTGTCATATGGGAATAATGTACAGTGAGTTGTATAATCAATAATTTCCATTGCACTAGTTATATTAGGTACTATTGATAATATTTTTTTTAATGGTACTTTATTTTGCTTATTTAAAACATGCCCCCAGATTCAAATCTTTCCTATTGAATATATTGATAATATGAATCTTATTACCAATACCGCTTTTCTGGATCAAGCTTCTTGCAGCGCTTGCAGAATTTGCGTATTAGAAATTAATGAATTTCAGTGGACTGTATTTTTAAAAAGACTCGACTATATTTCTATTTTTCAACTTGTTATTAACAACACCACTCATCGTTATGACAATATTAAACAAAACAATTTCAAAGCTAGAGTACAAAAAGTTTATCTGGTTGCTAATTTGTGATTAATTGAAAAATGTCAATTTTTGATTGATTAGAAATAAATCTCAACACCTATACTAAAATGATTTAAATTTTGAAAAAGATTTGATTAGGTACAAGAAACATTTTCGATTTGAATCTTTCTTCATATACAATACATACAGGGTGACATTTTAAAAACTTACAATGGCGATATCTCAGGAACCAGAAAATATATAAAAAATCGCTGAAAACAATTTCTATAGTAGGGAGGGGGAAACAAAATTATGTAATAACTAACTTGTTTTCACTCACCCCCAGCTACCCCAACTTAGTAATCTTAAATGACACCCCCCTACTTGTGATACCTTATCTGAAAGCTCTTAAAAAATGCTTTTCAATGGTACTAATGGTACCCTACAAGCTAGGATTCGATATAATTATTTTCAAAATAAAACCATTGAAATGTGAATTGAATTTTTGACTAATAATTTAATAAAAATTTAAAAACATTTTTTTACTATCGTAGCATTAATCTTGAAGCTTAAAAATTTTAGGCTTGTATTATTTTTTGTTTATTCGTTGTTTTGGGAGCCTGAAAAAATTGACAAGTCTAAAAAAATACAATTTTAATTCAAATGAATGAAGTTTTATTTACCCAATACACCAAAAACAATCACATCGAATCCAAGCTTGTAGGGTACCATTGAAAAGCATTTTTTAATAGCTTTCAGATAAGGTATCACAAGTAGGGGGGTGTCATTTAAGATTACTAAGTTGGTGGTGAGGGGTTGAGTGAAAACAAGTTAGTTATTACATAATTTTGTTTCCCCCTCCCTACTATAGAATTTTTTTTTCAGCGCTATTTTTTTTTTTTTTTTGGTTCCTCTGGAGATATAGCCATTGTAAGTTTTTAAAATGTCACCCACCCTGTATAAATCAATCGTTTGTTCAAATGAAAAGTATCTGTCTATGATCTTTGATTAAAACCCTTTTCAAAATGATCCTAGACAGCTGGTGTTATACAAATCAAAATTAAGTTTTCGTTTCTACTTGTAAAGTAAATTTATTATACTTTTCAGGTCTTCGATTCGGCATGCTTCAATCCAGAGTCGGACTAATATCGTTAATAAGAAATTTCAGTTTTTCTTTGAACAAGAAGACATCGCTACCAATCCGGATGTCATCTGGCAGCGTAATCATATCCGTTAAAGGCGAAGTTTGGCTCGATGCTAAAAAGATTAGAGATTACTAGTTTATTTTCTAAATTATATTATTCTATTCAAAATAATATTATAAGTTAGTCTAGAAATTCTAGAATAGAAATTGGGCCATTATTGTATGAATTAAGTTGTGGTAACTCTTTTAAAGACCGTATATTTCTGAATTGATTGGTTGTACGAGGAATCAAAAATAAATACTATATTAATTAAAAAATACATAAAACAACACATTAAAAATTATGTAAAGAAGTTATTTTCCTAACAAGTGCGCAAAGTGAGACTTTTTTACATGCAAAAGCAATAAGTCGACTTTGTTCTCGAATATCTATTATTTATTTATTTATTTATACCCCTACATACACCTTTAACAGGTACCTACCTACTTACGAGTGCATTATCGGATGATGCTTCAAGGGCGAAAACACATTTTGCGCATGTGTTAGTTTTGTACTAGGAAGCCTTCATAAATTAGAAACGTAAATCTGTGAGTATGTTTGTTTTCATTATACCTATAGCAAACAATAGTACATTATATACCTAGGTAGAGAAGTTGGTCATTATATACCGAGCGCTTATAATGCGTAAGGTATATAATGACTTTCTCTACCGAGGGATATACCTATAGAATTTTTTTTACTACTGCTAGTAGAAAATAATAAATAGGTTTGAAACCTGTGCTCAAATTATTTTCTCTTGTCGGAACTGCTATAATAATAATAATAGTTTATTTGTGTGTGCTAGATTACAAAGGTTTACAGTTTAATTAATTCGGTATATCTACAAAATAAAATATCTTGGCATAGAAACCTTCGCCATCGCACAGGATAAACAAAATACCACGAAAGATGAACTTGTCTGTGGCTCTATTCATTCACGCGACGCAAATGATCTTACCATATAGAGGGCTCTCAGACAGGAGATGAGCCCTTTCAGTGTTTATTAAAAGCAATAACTTATGCAATTGAAGCACAACATCTAAAAATAAACATTAAAAGTCTAAGTCTAAAAATTAAAACAAATCAAAAACAAAATCAACTAAATCTAAAGCAAAAATATAAAGACAAATCGAGTAACTGAAAACATGAGCAAGTTATAACTGGTTTTTGAAGTCTATAAGATTATGTATATGACACCTTGGACAGCTCAGCATCCAGTTTCTAACTGAAACTTTGAAATTTTTCAGTGTTCTTTGTTTTTTTATGTTTTCGGGCAGGTAATTGAACACCCTCGGTCCTATGAACATGCTACTACGTTGCCCTATAGATTTTTGCATTCTTGGTACTCTGATTAAGTTTCTTTGTCTCGTGTAAACTTGAGTTCGAGGTGTAGTACAGTCACTCTGAGTTTTATACCAAATTATTGCCAGTTGTTTAAAATAAAGTTGTCTGATATCAAAAATCTGATTATCTCTATAAAGTAAATCTGAAGGATATAATCTTTCTTTATTGAAAATTATTTTTAAAATCCATTTTTGACTGACATTGACAGAATTAAGATGTTCATTTAACACTTCACCCCAAGCCACATTACCGTAGGTTAAATGTGGTTCTACCAAAGCTGAATACAATATTTTTAGCTTTTTGGAATCTAGGATCCTTCTATATAGTATTTAAATTTGTATACCAAACACCGAAGTTTTCTATTGACATAGTTGATATGGTGGTTCCACTTAAGGTGGCAATCCATCATAACCCCTAGATATTTTACCGTACTAGTTCTTTTTATGACAAAAGTATCGTTTATTTTTAGCTCATTGAACTCATTGAGCTCATTGCTGCCCTCTATCAACAGCTTACGGTAATTTCCTAATGTACCATCGTCACCAAAAGTAACTGGGACAGCATCACATTAGCTCTTGTCCTATTATATAAATTTTATTGTCAAATATTTGTCAAACTATAATTTAAATGCATTGAAATGAATGACAGTAGAATTAGTCCAGGAGATTATTATGCATTATTTCTGTCCCAGATACTTTTGGTGACAATGGTACATACTTACAGGAACCTACTTTTTTTAAAATTGACAGTTTGACACTGAAATTAAACCAATAGAAACCTGTTACGTTATGACAATATCCTTGCGTCATGACGTCATTTTCATTATTGACCTAGGTATTTTTTAATTTTTTTCATTATTAACCTTCATTATACCATACCTATTGTATATCATGTGCTAGAAACTTAAAATTACCAATTTTTCATTGAATATGAAAATTTTGCGACTAAATAAAAGAAAAAGTAAAAGGCAAAAATGGGATAATTCCGTCAAGCTGGCAACCAGTGATGTGCCTGTAGACAATGTCAACGTAAACAATTGATTGTCTACGCCTCGGTCTACGCGTAGACAATTCGAATTGTTTACGTGAGCATTTGTCTACACATTGTCTACATGCGGCGTAAACAATAACTTATTTTAAAAAATTCGAAAAAAAATATCAAAAGTTACTATAATATCACTATCACTTCGATACAAGCATTCACTGATTATAAAATATCAGAAAAACCAATAATAAAATAAAAATAAATTAAAAAAAGGAAAGTGTGAGGTTAGAATTAAACGTCATTTATATTATTTTACATTGTTGACACGTTGTCTACATTGTCTACATTGTCTACACGTAAAGTAGACAATGAAAGTCTACGTGTAGACGCACATCCCTGCTGGCAACACTGTGGCTGACTCGTTATCAAACGCAAGGATATCAACAAAGCATTCGATAGGTTGGATATAAGCCCCGCCCCTTTCCAATCAGATGCGAGTGATATCAGCAGGGCATTTAATTGGTTAGTTGAGCCCCGCCCCTTTCCGGGGTTTATGTATCGTCAAGGTAATAGATTGGTTATTGGTTGCTTCCTTTTCAACCCTTATTTCCAATGCCTCGGCCCACCTACAGTGACTTAACCTTTTGAAATAAAAATTCGGTATTGCCGCCATATTCTTGCAAATTTTGAATATGAATATAGAAGTTAGCCACGCCCCTGCCGCCATATTTTTGCAAATTTTTCGATGTGCACTCAGGTATTATTATTAATATTATTATTATCTGAGTAAATATCTATTTATTCTTTATTTTTCAATTTTTCCATCTCATATTTTGTCTATTCCCGGATATTGAATTTTCATTTTCTTCTTAATTTTAATTTTTCTAATGGCCATTTCCACCTACTATTTTAGGAAAGCCCTAACATTAGGTATGCTTTAAACTGACATTTCTCCATGTAAAAATTGCATTTTAGGGAAGACTCAGTGGCGGCGCATCGGGGCTCGAGCCCCCCCACTTTTTTTGTAATACATGAAATTTTTTTCTCATTATTTCAAAAAAAAATTAGATTAACAGAAATTCCTAAATTACCAGCTACAGTCAGAAGCCGTGTCCGTTTTTGTCATCTTTTTCGTCGATTTGCTCCGAAATTTTGACAGGCACGTGATTTGTAAAGCCTAGTACTCATAACTGCGAAATTCGCACTTTTTTGACATTACTTTGACAATTTGACGTTTAATGCGTGTATCAAACGTCAAATTGTCGAAGCAAAGTCAAAAAAATGCGAATTTCGCAGTTATGAGTACTAGGCTTAAAACTGTTTGATCCAGTCACGAGCAAATCGACAAAAAAGATGAGCATACAACAACAAAAAACGAACACGGCCAGAGTCGCCGGCAAAAAATAAACCTCGACTTGTGCTTCTTAATATAGAAATGACGTATTTCTTGTTCATTGTTCCTTGAAAAGGCTTTTAGTACTTAATAAAGAGAGTTTGTCTCCCAATTTGCTTATCTTTTTTACAAATAATTGACTTTCTCTTTCTATGTCAAATAAAATGTCGGTGGTACAGATAATTTGTTTTGAAAGTTCAAAATAATTGTTTTTGGGCGTGGCATCCCACTTTTTGGAGGCACGCGCCGCCTCTGGGAATAGGTACTTATCTTTAGGGCTCCCCTAAAATAGTTGAGGTTTATAATGCGTGATGCGTGTGGTATATAATGACTTTCTCTACCGAGGAATTTCTAGATTTTTTTTGCTACTGCTAGTGGAAAATGAATAAAGTAATCTGTGCTCTAATTATTTTTTTTGACTGCCCTCTTGCCCCTCTTGAAAGTGGTGCCCTCTATCAATAACTTATGATAAATTCCTATGTACCTACAGAAACCTGTATTTTTTTTTTAATTTGATGTATGAAATTGAAATTGAACCAATAAAAACATGACAATATCCTTGCGTCATGACGTCATTTTCATTATTTTATTAACCTAGGTAGGTATTTTTCCATTATTTTCATTATTTACCTAGGGACAGAAATTCAATTTTTTCCTAGAAAAATAGATTGAATTGTGATTTCTGTGAGAATAACAGACCTCACAAGACAGTGAACTGTGATTTAGTTTTGTAACTACATAATTTGAGCTTGATTGATTAATGGTTGAATAAAGTGTTGTACTGGTGCTAGTGTTGTCGTGATTTTTGTGTTATTGTCTCGAATTGACTCGAATAAAAATAAATTGATTTTGGAAGAGTAGTTTATTCACTCATTTAAGAATCCGCTCGCCTTATGTCTATTATATTTAATCCAATTTTAACTTAAAAAAAAAAACAGAAAACAACACAAAACTCCCGCACTGATTTGCGTGCGCAAGGTAGCATTGCGAGAAAAAGGTTACTTCGCGCATTCATGGGATAAGAGTAATTTGCGCACGCCCGTAGGAAAATTAAATTCTTTCATCCCATTTTGATTTTGAATCATGAATGAATGAACGCTAAAATAAAAGCTAAATACATGTTGATCAAGACACGAAGAAACTGCATTTCCTCGAGAAACCAATCGATAGATTTTTATTTCGCTAGATATCGATATATCGTTGCCATCTCTACACTTCGGCTTGTCATAAAAGACAAATGACATTTCAAAGAGCGAACGAATTCTTTCATTAACCCTTTTCACGTGGCTCCGGTTTAACAAACCGCAACATTCCGCTCAAATTCGAGTGGTAGGTACGCATCACGTCACTTTGTAACCGGGCTAGAAAACGGTATGTCATTTTTCTAACCGTTTTGTAACCCGGTTAGTTTGAACCGGAGCCACGTGAAAAGAACTTTTAGGTAGTTCATTTGTACTTGCTCTACCTGCTCAAGATATCAGGAAGATCTGCTAGGAGCTGCTCTTTATGAGCTTATTGATATGGGACAAATGAACGCCGATCAGCTGCTGAGATCAAGCAAGAAAAACAGTACAAATGAACAGCCTCTTTTATTCAGCAATAGTTGTATTCCTTTCAAGAGTCTAAAACACTAGAGCTACTCGCTCCGGGTTAGTCGCCCTGATTTGAAAGGAACAGATGCGCTGGCTTTCATGCAATTGAATGGTTCGAGACGGGCTTGACCACTCAGGTGCAGCAGCACTTTTCGAAAGGAATAAGCGCGTAACGCCCCGGAGCTACTCCTAGGTGTGAAAGGAATACAACTAATGCATCCACCTGCTGCCAGCATTATGAGACAGCCATTCCGATTCTCTATGAACTAGACAAAGATAGACTGGTCACTGGTCATCGATGGATCCATCGCTGAATAAACCCCGATTTTCCCTGCTTCCTTATTGTTCAATATGTGAATTTTCGGCTCAAAAAACAAACCGTTGCCGTTCGGAAAGTAGAAATTTGAATAAAAATGGTACATTTCTTCAGTCAGTGTGTCAGTGCACTTTAAGTAGGTACTCCGTAGACACTCTCAACGGTTCGGGTACGTTTTTTTAGCAATAATAGAGTAGCTCAACTCAATGCCGAAATGTCGAGTAAATGGAGCTCACTCCAAAAGTTCCACCTCAAAAAAGAAAATTTGCGGTTAAGCTGTGTGTAAAGTGTTAAAATTACTCCATGCTTTGTATGCATAAAGTAGCTGTCTGTGCACCGAACATTTTTAAATCTCTTCCCAGTTATAGACTGGAGTGAATTTAACGCTGAACAGAAAACACAGTTTTATATTTTGGTTTATTGGCATTGCGATAGCCATTTCGTTCGTTCTGTCGTAAAGTGAGCTACTAGAAAGGTTCAGTTGTTTGAATGTTGATGAAAACCAAAGATAATACACACTACTATAGGATTGCTTATCAGCCTCGTTTTTGGTACTTAATTGCGGTCATCGTGTAGTAGCATTAACGACGAGGCAAAGAGAGATGTAAACGACTCAGACAATTACGGAAGCCCGGTCGTGCAATCTGTCTTCCGAGTTCTTAGTTTATAGTTCTGACGTCACAACTCGAAATTTCTGATTTACTACGTCACAACTTGGAATTTCTGATTTACTACGTTAGAAGTCCGTTATCGATGTTTTCCTTTATCCTTGAGAATTGTTGAATTGTAAATTGTAACGTAAAAATTAGGTGTCCGGTTCTATTATGTTTTTATTTGCATTTGCGATGTGGAATTTAACAAAAAAAAAAAAACAGCATTGCAAAACCTTAAACATTTTAGATGAAGCAGATCACCATCATTTTAGAGGCCTGTGTTACAGCCACCAAGCCATCTCATTTGAGACCATCAACATTAAATTTTTTGATTAGATATATAATAATATGCTCTTGCCTTATTGTATAAAGCTTTTTTGGCGTACAAGTGTATTGGCGTGAAAATATCAAAAATAGGTTTGTGATAGAGCAACCCATTGAGAGCAACACACATATTTTCTGTTCCTAAATCAGTTTTCACAGATTCACACAAAAAAAATATTGAAAGATATAACTAGTAGTAGAAGAGCAAGCGGTTCATCCGACTAACCCGTTCCACACAAAACTAGATATTTTAAAAATAATGTTTTATTATTGGTCAATCATTTATTACCTGCTTCCACGGGCTGAAATTTTGAGGGAATATTCTTTCATTGATTTAAAAAGTATATGTAAATAGCCAGCCTATTCTGGCGATGCGAGTGTCTGCCAGTATATATTAGTCATGATGATGCTCGATTGGAGTGCTAGCAATAAATGAGCATTTTCGAGTTATGACGTAGAAAATCAGAAATTCCGAGTTGTGACGTAGTAAATCAGAAATTCCGAGTTGTGACGTCAAAACTATGAACTAAGAACTAGGAACACAGATTGCACGACTGGGGCTTCCGTAGACAATATCTAAAATCAGACTAAAAAGTTGTTTTAGGGTGTTAATTAATGTAGTAAAAGCAAGTATGCATAAAGCAAAAGCACGGCATGCAAAAGCCCGCAGAATCATAACATATGGTGCAAACACCCCCGTCGTCGTCAAGGCGAGATGGTGAGAAACCATTGGAGAAACCACACGCTGCCTACGTCATCATTGGTGCTTTGGCATGGTTGGGTTGGGGGCTTGTCCGACTTGAGATTTGAACTACAAAGGCCTCATGAATGAGGATATACCATTCTATAATAGTAGTGTGTATTATCCTTGGATGAAAACAACAAAACGGAGAGCGAAATCCTAAGCTTTGTACAGACTTGAACATTCCTTGCGTTCGGTATTTGGCTCAAAGAGTAGAGCGTGCTGAGCGGAGCCGTAATCACGTGACCAGCAAGCGAACAGAGCAGTTGACGCTGTATCCAAGTGCCTGAAATTTTATTAAACGAACGCGACGGGGCTACACTTCAACTACCTTGCACTTGCACCGCATAGAGTGCCAAAAACACGAACGCTGTTACCGCCTAATGGGCTGGCTTTGGTAATTGCATCTGTGAGCAAAAGGCGCAAATTTTGACAGACGTCACGCGATCACTTATCTTTTTTCACGAGTTAAATCACATGACATTTGTCAAATTTTGCTCATTTTTGCTCGCAGATGCAATTACCGAACCCAACCAATTGTAAACCGGCTCCGGTTGTAGAACTCAATAAATTAGGGCGAGTTCTCATGAGCGTAAGTTGACATTTCTGGCGTAATCATGTGATATTATGGTGTAATTTGATTGGTAAAATCTCCAACAGGTCAAATATTTTTCCAATAAAACCCAACCATTTTATCACGTGAATACGCCAGAAATGTCAACTTACGCTCATGAGAATTCACCCTTACTGTATTTAACCCGAACATAAAAAAATATATATTTAAGGTGGGTTCGGCTTGCTCACTCCGTGCACTCCGAGTGACTCCATTCGCACTCCAGCCGTTCGGGTTAAGGTTCGGGTATTGTTTTTTACCGTATTAGGGGTGACTTAATTAGCTCTGTTCACTCCACTCCAACTCCGCACTGAATAGCCGAACCCAGCTCTAAAATGTTTGCACTGCACTCTCAAATGCGAACTGAGTTCCATAACATATCGAAGTCTATACCAACAACCGTTTTTTCGAACGTGGCATTCGTTGTTTCGTCTTTTTTCCTCCATTAATTAATTGACATATGACAATTGCCCTGTTCCATGTTTATATTTATTTTTTAAAGTTTAAAAAGTTGATTGTTTATCTTCAATATTTTAGTTTTGCTGATGATGAGTTGAGAACCCTTTATTTGGTGTTTTAGGAAATTATTGAGGCTTCTCCGTTTTCAGAATTTTACATTATTCCAGACTCCCAGACCAAATTAATCTATATAAAATATAATGGCCTCATCCCAAGACGCTTGGTACTTGTCCCTGCTAGGCCTGGCAGAATATTTCCGAGCCTCGAATCCTCCAATGATAAAACACTGTATTCAATGCCTACAAGCAGTATTCAACTTTAAACCTCCTCAAAGAGTGGAAGCCCGGACGCATTTACAGTTGGGAAACATTCTGTGGAACCACACAAAGAATGTCGATTTGGCCAGGCTTCATTTAGAGAAAGCGGTAAGTTTGCTTAAAGAATACATAATATGTGCTTTTTGTCACCATTGTAAGTGTTTCACAGCTACCAATTTGGGTTTAAAAAGCCTTTGATGTTTGCTTTCACCAGATCTGTTTGAATGATACCGAGAATGATACTGTCTTCAACTTTATTAATAATTACCTATTTCCAGTATTTTCTCGCCTATTTCTTTAGTTCAAGAACACATTTTAAGAAAAACTCTTATCTACTTTTGAGAATACATGTTACCGAACATGTTACCATCTTATTAAAGTTCATTTATAAAAATTTAGTTTTTTCACTCTAGTAGCACCTTGAGTAGCACCATCTAACGAAATACATAATAAACGTTATTATTATTATTATTATTATTATTATTATTAATTATTAGTATACGGTACTAATTATTTATACCTTCATACTACTACCCTCTCAATAATTTTCTTGACTCTTTTAAAGCATGTTTATTGAGGGGTCAACCACTTCCCGCAATATGTGTACACTTGGCCCGAATTACCTCCGAAATACTTCGAAGTACCTAGAAATACCGTGAAGTACCTCGAAATAGCAGGTATTCCCTTCGAAGTACGTGAAATACCATGGAATTACCGTCGACGTACGCGAAATACCCTCGAACAACCGCGCGAAGTCCCGCAATACTTCTAAAAAATTCTCGTTGATAACTATTAAGTATTCTTGTGGATCGCAGTGAAGAATTTTTGCTCGGATTTTTGTGTCTTTTGATATTGATTGAGAATTCAAAAATGGTACCAAAAAATCGGTCGAACCAAAAACAAAGAATTACGCCATGGTTGAACTGTTTCTTAAATAGAACACCGTGTTTTTGGAAAAGTCTCATTTTTTACGTCTATTCTGTGGAACCTAATATTTGATATTCCGATAGCTGTTTTTATTTTATTTTAATGTTTTATGATGTGTGTGAATAGTCCTTAACCTTTAACGGCTACGGTGGAAAAAAATCCTTTAACCGCTACAGAGTGGTCTCACAGACACGCTATTAGAATTCGCGTTAAAATTCAAATGAATCTCGAATTATATCCAAAACTTGGTTCAAACAAAACTAAAAACTGTTTTAAACAATAAAACTCAGTTTAGCTTTGGTATTTTCTTATTTGTATGAAAAATTATTTCATTTATAATTTCTTTTGAAAATAATAGACTCCATATACTTCCTCAGGGGCGGGACAATTTCCAAGTTGCTTTGCTCCATCTTTTAGTCCATTTAATTCGTCTTCGCTATCTATATTGTTATAGGGTTTATCAAATCTTGACTTGATTTTGTGCTCATTTTTGAAATTTTGGGTCACCTAGATGCATTTATGTGATAGCTACGCTGTGGTCTAGCAGACCATTATCTATCTTTAGGATTAAATAAAAAATCACTACTCACTTCACTGACGCTACCGCATTACTGAGGTGTGGGACAGTGATCCACTGAAAGGTATATAAACTCTCACCTCTCAAAACGCAAGTATTTTCAAAATAACTGGAAAAGATTTTCGCCAGGTGTCTGACAGACCACTCCGTAGCCGTTAAAGGTTAAACCCTTTTTTTGTTCCTCCATCGAAAGTGGGGTTATGTAGACCAACACAATATTCATCATATGGCCCACATTGGCCATATTACCCCTCTGTGTACTGGGCCATATTACTTGAAGCTACAACCAAAAAAATATTGACATTAAAAAAAAGGAGCGAGTAGTCACATCAACAAAACATTTTAACTTTGCTTGGCATCACACTGGCTGGTAACGTAGAACTGCTGATAAATCGCAACCTCTTGATAATCGGTGGATGGGAAAATGGAGAATACCCCTTGTAGACGGGCGTTACAAGCAACTATTCGACGTTGTCAGATTGGTCACAAATGCTTTGATTTTTAAAATTGAGACCTTGGGCCATATTACCCACTGGTACCTTACTTCATTTTTTCTCTATGTTTTCTGATATATTTTTTATATCTTCTTTATTTGTGCAACTTATTGTAACACCTCCTTCCCATACATATTCAAGTCTTAATACTTCTGCCCCTAGAGTTATTGGGGAACAATGTGTGGAGGAGATTGATCAGTGTAGAAGAGATATCGAATCAGACTATCAAGTCATAAAGAGAGGGGTTCCACAGGGATCGGTTCTGGGACCTCTGCTTTATATTCTATGCACGAATGAAATTGAAAATACATACAATTAAAAATGATGTGGTAATGTTTGCGGATGACACAATTATTGTAATATGTAGCAAGGAAACAGAAGAACAAGTTAAAACTGATATAGCAAAGTGTCTCTCTTCTTTAAAAGAATGGTATAAGGAAAATAATATGTAAATGAATGTAAATAAAACACAGCTTTTACAATTCAGACCAAAAAGTGATACATTTTGTGTAGAGTATGAAGCAGAGGGCCTGGAAGTTTTGATTCGGTGAATTATCTGGGTGTGGGTGTGGTACTTAACAAAAATCTGGACTGAAAAGAACATATAGACCAACTCTCGGGTGCTTTGGAGAGACAGGTGTATGCTCTCCGAATCTTAAGAGGTAATGTCGACAAGTCCTTGTCTCTCGTATCATATCATGCTTTTGTGCAATTGAAGGTTATATATGGAGTCATCTTTTGGGGCAGTTCGAGTGGAGCAATAAGGCTCTTAAAATTACAGAAAAAATGCTTAAGAGTGATATTAAGACTCCAATATAGAGAAAGTTGTAAACAACATTTTATTGATAACAATATACAAACAGTTTTTAATCTTTACATATTAGAATGTGTGAAATTTATATCAAAAAATCCAGATTCATTTTTCGATCAGGGATTAAATCACCCTTATGAAACAAGGAGTAAAGAAATCATGACATCAGATATTGCTCACTTTACTTTTGTTCAGAAGAATACCACCAAAACACCCCCCCCCCCTTATATACGTCCTTGAATACATATCAACAAAATTTATATTGTAGGATACGTAAAAATACAACTCGCTTTTCAAATATGAGATAAAAAATAGGGTATTTCATTTAAAAAAACAAAGATATACCTCGTAACTCTTTTGTTTCTGGTTCAATTATTTTCCAAGTAACATTTTCAAATTCTAGGAAAAAAGTTACATCTAACTGCTATTTTCGTTTTCTCCAAAAATACAGGGAAAGTCAAAATTAGAACCCTGTTCAGTCCTCGCTGGCGGACCCTGTACCTTTTATTTTTCATTGTCTCTTGAGTCTCGGAGATATAAAGTGCTTTTCTAACACATTGTTCCTTATGAAAAAAAACTGAAATAATTTATTTTCTCGAAAACTGTTAGAAATAAACGTATCGAAATTTGTATCATTGAAATCGGCAAAAGCAGAGCTTTCCAATGAGATATTAATATATTAGGGTGTCCAATAATCCTTTTTATTTATTAAATGATCTGTACAGCCAGAGTCGTTGGAAAATAGAAATTCATCAGTATTACTTACAGTTTTTGAAATGAAATAATTCCACATTCCACTACTGGTCATAAAACTGATTGAATTTTCCTGAGAGTCAGCGTAGTTACTTTGATGACATCTTCTTCTGGCATATCACCACCTGTGGTCTTTAATTGTCTTACGGTGCTTTCAAATTCTTTCAGATAACATTCTAAACATTCTAAATTTTCCATTTTACTCATTTTATAGACATCAATTTGTCCTGGAATACCTTTCTTTTCATATCGGTTTTGTAAATGTGGCAATTAGGCTGTTTCTTTTTGTCTGGTTTTTTAGCTTCTCGCAACTTCTTTTCTTCAGAATAATCTGCAACTTTAACTTTTTGTCTATCGATTCTTTTGCATCTTTTTCCTCTAGTAATATCTTGCTTGATAATTTTTTTCATTTAACAACTCAATATTGAATGTATTACTTTTTCTTGCCCTATTAGCCACAATCTTTAATGTCTATTTTCTTTCTAAATTTTTACTTACCTACTTACTTCGAGCTTCCTGCTTCATGAGTCCATAACCTGCTGTTTCTTTTCACTAGATCTGTTTAAATGATACTGTCTTCTACTTTATCAAATAACTACATGTATTAAAACTAAGGAAAAACTCTAAAAACTACTTTTGACAATATCACCATTTCATTATGACAAAATCCAATGATAAACCCATACTAAGTTCATACACAAAAATCAAGTTAAGACTGGTTAGCAGCACTATATTACTAATCTTTGTACAACTACATCCAAGAAAGCAATATCACAGCACCCTTTGATTTTAGATTTAAGATATTCAATTTCCAATTTGAACATTTCAGTGGATGCTATCTCAAACAATATCCTCATTTGACGACGTCAAATTTGAAACGGCCAGCTTGTTGGCGGAAATATTAGAGCAACAATATCAAATTCTTCTAGCAAAACCTGTCTTGAGGAAGGCCATAGAGCTGTCCCAGCATAACGTTTACTGGCATTGCAGATTGATTTTTCAGTTGGCCCAAATTCATGCTATCGAAAAAGATTATGCTTTGGCTAGCAGCTTATTGGGCGTCGGTGTGGACTATGCCCATATTTCCAATGCCTATTACACTAGGATTTTGTTTTTATTGAGCAAAGGAATGGTTAGTAAAAACGTATTATTTTATAAAATAATAGCCTAAAAATTAATTAAATTTAAAGTTGTTACTAATTGATAAAAAACACCAAGACGTACAGCCAGTATTAAATCAAGCCGGGCACTTGATAGAAGCCTGGACAGGAACAGCATATCAAAGGGAATATTTGAAAGTTTACTTTTTGGTATTGCAAGTGTGCCATTATCTGATGGGAGGCCAAGTCAAGGGCGTGAAGCCTTGTTTGAAGCAATTGCAGCAGAGTATACAGGCTATTATGCAGGCAGATGATGGTAAATAATAATAATGATTTTTTGAATTATATGATAGATCACCTCCTATTAAATTATTCCAAACCCAGTTTTTCCAAAAAATTATTTTTGCCAATTATTGGAAAGAGTTAAAATTAGTGGCACTGGCACAGCAGCTTAGCAGCTCTAAAAATAGGTTTTTTCGAGGGGTGGTTAACTCCTTAAAATATGTACACAGATTTTAAATCTTCATTGATTTTGTAGGATTTTGAGAATTTTGAAAATCTTCACATGATTTTACAGGATTTTGAAAGATTTTAGGTGATTTTAGAGCATTTTAGGGAAGTTAGAAGGCTTTTTTAGAGATCTTAAAGGATTTTTAGAGATTTCAACGGATTTTTGGGATCCAAAGGATTTTTGGAAATGTTGAAGGAATTTTTTTATTAAGAATTTTATAAGATTATGATTTGTTCTAATAAAATTTTGTTAGATTTTTAAAGATTTTAAAGATTTTCAGGGATTTTAAGTAGATCTTACGACAGGATTTTAAAAGATTTTAGATTTATTAGATTTTAGGTGATTTTGAATCATTTTAGGGAATTTAAAAATGGTTTTTATGGCGTTTTTATCAACTAATTTAGGGGAGCCTTAACGATGAGTATTTTTTAAACTGAGATTTCTCCATAGAAGTCTGTCATTTTAAGGAATACTTATTGTTAAGCTTTCATAAAATAGTTGGTGGAAACGGCCATTAGAGATCCTAAAGGATTTTTAGAAATTTTAACGGATTTTTGAAGATTCCAAAAGACAAGTTTTTCTGGACTTGTACACAGATTTTGACCAATCAACCGCTCCGAGGTTTAGTTAACTCTATAAAAAAATGAACACATACGTATTTTAAGGCTTAATTGATTTTGTAAAATTTTGGGAATTTTGGAAATCTTTACACGATTTCACAGGAGTTCAGAATATTTTGGATTTTCAAAATTCTAGGTGATTCTGGAGCATTTTAGGGGTTTTTGAAAAGTTTTTAGAAATTCTAAATTTAAATGACAAATTTGAATAGAAAAAAAAGTCCTGGAAATTTTACCATAAGATTTCATAATACTTTTCCGAATTTCACCATAAGATTTCATAGAATTCTACCTTAAAATTCAATGGAATTCTTGTACAAAAATTCCTCGGAATTACAGTAAAAGATATCATGAATTTTCTCGGAATTCCACTAAAATTTTATGTAATTCGACAGAAATTACTCAGAATTTCACTAAAATTTAATTCAATTCTTCGAATTCTGTCGAAATTTCTCGTAGTTCCATGGAAATTCCACGGAAATTCTGTTTAATTTCAAGGGAATTCTTCGGATTTTATGTAATTTCAGTAGAATTCCACAATAAGGTTTCAAGGAATTCCATGTATGTAATTCGACAAGAATTCCTTGGAATTTTACTCGACATTTCATCGAAATTTTATGTAAATCGGCACAAAATGAAATTATATGCATATAATTTGATGGAAATTCTGCGAATATTTCATAATTTTTTTTTTTTTTCGAAATTCCACTGAAATTCTCCAAAATTCTATAGAAATTCCAAATTCTATAATTTTTTTTAAAACTGAAACTTCCCAAAACTTCACCACTGCTATATCCAGGAATTCCACAAAATTTTCATAAAATTTTTCGGAATTTCACTGACATTTCCTATAATTTCTTAGAAATTCCTCGGAATTTCACTAAAATTTTATGAGAATTTTTTGAAATTTCACTAAATTCCACGTTATTAGTCGAATATTTCTCGAAATTCCAATGAAACTTCAAATTTTTTTTCAAAATTTCATTTATTTCCATAAGAATTTTTCGGAATTTCAGCGAAATTCTCTTTCAATAGTCAGGAATTTCTGGAAATATTAATAAAACTTCAAGTAATTTCTTGAAAATTGACCGAAATTCCTCCGAAATATATTGAAATTTCATATCATTACATGGGAATTTTTCCATTCACCGAAATTGTAAGTTTTTAGCCGGAAATTCCACTTGTGAAATTTTCTCTAATTTTACTAAAATTCAGTAATTCGATAAGAATTTTTCGGAATTTCAATATCACTAAAATGCCATGTTTTTAACTGGGAATAAAAATAAAACTTCATGTAATGAATTACATTAGGATTTTTTGGAATTTCACTGGAATTCCTTATGAAACGATAAGAGTTGTTCGAAATTCCACTTAAATTTCATGTTATTTCCTGACAATTCCTTGAAATTTCATGCAATTGCATTGGAGCTCCATATATAATTCGACGTAATTCGAGTTCGATGTAATTTTTTGAAATTTTTTATAAATTCTTTATGTAATATAACGAGCACTGAAATTTAATGTGGGGAATTTCGGTGTAATTCCATGTAATTGTTTAGAATTCCTCCATGCAAATCATTCATGATTACATGAAATTCGATCGAAATTCCACTGAAATTTTTTTTGTAATTTCTCGAAATTTCATGTAATTCGAGAGGAACTAAAATTAAATGTGAATTCTATGGAAACTTCGCAAAAATTTCACATGTCACATTTCACACTATAAAATTCAACGGAATTCTTAGAATTTTTTTTCTTCAGAATTACAATAGAGGATTTCATGAATTTCTTTGGAATTCCAATAAAATTTCAAGTTATTCCATGGGAATTCCGCGGAAATTTTAGTCAATTCCATAGAAATTCCTTAGAATTTCACCAGAAGATTTTATGAAATTCCTCGAAATTCCATTCAAATTGTAAATTTGAATGGAAAAACGGAAATTCCTAAAAATTTTACTATAAGATTTTATATTTTTCCAAATTTCATCATAGGATTTCATGGAATTCTACAATAAAATTCAACGAAATTCTTCGGAATTCCACTAAAATTTCAAGTTATTCCAAAGGAATTCCGCGAAAATTTTTAGTAATTCCTTAGAAATTCCTTAACATTTCATCAGAAGATTTTATCGAATTCTTAGACAAATTTTTTTCGGAATTACAGTATACGATTTAATGAAATTCCTCGGTATTCCACTAAAAGTTCAATTTCAAAATTCCATAATTTTTTTTCAACTTTACTGAAATTCCCCAAAATCTCCTTACTGAAATATCCTGGAATTCCACAAAATTTTCATAAAATTCTTCGGAATTTCATGTAATTTCTTAAAAATTCCTCGGAATTCACAAAAAAGTCCAATGAAACTTCAAGGAATTTTTCGAAATTTCATTTATTTTCATAAGAAATTTCACTGAAATTCTCTTTTAATAGCCAGGAATTTCTGGGAATATTAATGAAACTTCAAGTAATTTCTTGAAAATTCACCGAAATATATTGAAATTTCATGTCATTACATGACAATTTTTGGGAATATAACCGAAATTCCATGTTTTTAGCCGGAAATTTCCCTTGTGCATATTTACCTGTAAATTTACTCCATAATTTTCAAAAATTGATGAGTGGAAATTTCCCTGGTGAGCGGGATATTTCCGGGTGCAATTTCCAGAATTGTCATTTTTGACATTGAGACCAGTTTTTCCATTTAAAACGCATTGATGTCAGAAATCTGTCAAAGTGTATATTTTTTGACAAACGCAATTTAAATGGGGAAGATCAATAACAATCACCATCACAGAGCACATTACCATAGTTAAATATTCGACACAACGTATAAACTTCAAACTCGGGAAATTTCCTATCAAAATATAACACGTGCATTAAATATTTCCTAAGGGAAATTTTTTATGCACTAGTTACTACTGGAAATTCCTTGGCAATCCACTTGTGGAATTTTCTGGAATTTTACTAAAATTCAATAAAGACTGAAATTTCATGTTGGGAATTTCGGTGGAAGTTCATATAATTGTTTAGAATTCCTCCATGCGATTCATTTAGGATTCCGTGTAATTCGATCGAAATTTCACTGAAATTTTATGTAATTCGAGAGGAACTAAAATTTAATATGAACTCTATGGAAACTTCCCAAAAATTACACATGTAATTCGTTTTTTAGAATAACATAATTCTACAGAAATTCCTCGAAATTCCACTAAATTATGGAATTCTGAGAGACTTAACAGATTTTTGGAGATTTCAATGAATTTTTGGGAATTTTAAGGAAAATATTTTTTAGGAATGTTAATGGTTTTATGAGATTTGCAGGATTTTTATGGTTTTAACGCAATTTTGTTAGATTTTATGCAATTTCAAGAGATTTTTTGGGATTTTGTTTAATTTTTTAAGGATTTCAAAGATTTCTAGGGATTTTGAGTAGATTTTATGAGATTTTCTGGGATTTTGACCAACGTGTACACAGATTTTGACCAGTTAACCACCCCTCGAAGAAAACGTAGATACATATCTAGAAAATCATTAAAACAAATTGTTTAAATACAGTTTTACACCCTTTTAGGACAGTTTCTCTATCAAAAAGTGATAGACCTGAATTTTTATCATTAATTGAACATTTGGTACTAAGAACAACCCTAAATAATTCCACCTTTATGAAAACAGTAACTTCAAGTAGCTATAAAATAATTATTATTAGTAATGCTAAACTTAACATTTTCAGTATTTACCGGTCCAAGCCAAGGAGACATGTTTCTATGGATGCCTAAAGAACATCTCTACGTTCTAGTTTATCTATTAACGGTTATGCATAGTATGCAAGCCGGGTACATGGAAAAAGCTCAAAAATACACTGACAAAGCCCTGTTACACATAGAAAAATTAAAAAGTAAGTCGCATGCTGGTAAAATCAAAGTAGTTTGAACTTGCTACTTGCTACAGAACGAATCCAGTATTTCAATGTTATAATTCCCAACTCTGGCAATAGCCCTCTGAAAGTAACAAGATATAATAAACATATTCCTTAGTTTTAGACAATAAACCAATCCTATCAGTATTCCAATTGATGCTCTTGGAGCATATCATAATGTGCCGTTTGGTGATGGGCAATAAAACCCAAGCCTTGCAAGAAATCGCGTCGGCTTCAAGTTTATGCAAGAAAAATCCACATTTACTGGAAAATCACGGACCTCAGCTCCACACTCTGTTAGGCTTATATTCAATGAGCATGGACTGTATGCCGGCAGCCGAAGCTCAATTTTTAGCTGCTTTGAACACGTCGCAAGACTCACAGGAGAGAGAACTATGGACTTTTGCCAATTTGAATTTGGCCATTGTTTATTTGAGAGGTAAGCGGGAGAGCGATTTCAATGCCCTCTTTGATAGAATCAATCCCGAAAGTTTACCGTCGCAGAGTCACAGTCTGAAAGCTGCAGCGTATTATGTCCAAGGTCTTCAAGCATTTTTTCAAGGACGATATAATGAAGCCAAGTAAGAATATCAATAATAGCAATTATTATAGGAGTTTGATGAATTATTTATTTTTTAGACGATTTTTACGAGAAACACTTAAAATGGCCAATGCAGAGGATTTGAATAGGCTTACATCTGGGTCTCTGGTGCTTTTGGGTCACATTTTTTTATCGTTGGGAAACAGCAGGGAAAGTATGAACATGGTAACGCCTGCAATGCAATTGGCCAGCAAAATACCTGACGTGCACGTACAACTGTGGGCTTCTGCGATTTTAAAGGGTAATTTTTTTGGTATATTGTTAGTGAATAGCAAAGGTGAATAGTAATAATGATACATTCTTATGATCCTCATCAGTTGTTTGACAACAAAATTGTCCCAAGTAAAAGAAGAAACATTTATGATTGACCAAATCAAATTTTCTTTAAAATACATGTGTTAAAAAAAAAGGTAGGAAGTCACAAAAATGCAGACTGCAGAATAACTGAATAATTGATTTGTTGTGGCGCTTCACACTTTAAAAGATTATGAAAATGACGATTTAGAAGCTCTACTGTGACAATTCTTATAGGGTAATATTATTGAAAAATTGTTTAGGTACTTCTTTGTAGCACCCCTAACATGTTTTGTTTTTTAATTTTCAGATCTTCACAGAATCTGTGGCGATACTGCAAGAGAAAACGAAGCTTATCAACGCCACGTGAATTTTTCTCAAATGCTTCGCAATGACCATTACAATGCGTCCAAATTGCCACAGCATTGTCTCATATTCTGGACAAAAGGGGAGTTTCCTTATTAACACCGGCACTGTAAACTTTCTTGTTTTTAGGGTACCGAATCGACTTTTCAAATTGGCTGCTATTTTTGTTTTGTTCGCTTTAAATTATATTAAATTTAATGCTTAATGTAATAAACAGTGCTGTATATGAAGTTGAATATTTTTTTTACTACTAAGCTGAGAAATAGTCATTATTCAATCTATTTTTCTAGGAAAAAATTGAATTTCTCTCCCTAGGTTAATAATGAAAATAATGAAAAAATACCTAGGTCAATAATGAAAATGACGTCATGACGCAAGGGTATTGTCATAACATAACAGGTTTCTATTGGTTTAATTTCAGTGTCAAACTGTCAATTTCAAAAAAAGCAGGTTCCTGTATGTATGAGCCCTAACGATAAGTATTCCCTAAATAAAATGACATTTTTACATGGAGAAATGTCAGTTTTATGACCGTTTCCACCAACTATTTTAGGGAAGCCCTAACGATAATTATTCCCTAAACTGACATTTCTCCATGGAAAACTGTCAGTTTAGGGAATACTTATCGTTAAGGCTTCCTTAAAATTGTTGGTGGAAATGGCCATAAGGCATACCTATTGTTAGGGCTTCCCTAAATAGTTGGTGGAAATGGCCATTAGAAAAATTAAGAAGAAAACGAAAATTCAAGATCCGGGAATAGACAAAATATGAGATGGAAAAATTGAAAAATAAAGAATAAATAAATATATACTTAGATAATAATAATATTAATAATAATACCTGAGTAAACATTAAAAAATTTGCAAAAATATAGCGGCAGGGGCGTGGCTAACTTCTATATTCATATTCAAAATTTGCAAGAATATGGCGGCGGTACCGAATTTCTATTTGAAAAGGTTAAGTCACCGTAGGTGGGCCGGGGCCATTGGAAAGGGTTGAAAAGGAAACAACCAATCAAATATCTTGACGATACATAAACCCCGGAAAGAGACGGGGCCCAACTAACCAATTGAATGCCCTGCTGATATCACTCGCATCTGATTGGAAAGGGGCGGGGCTTATATCCAACCTATCAAATGCTTTGTTGTTATCCTTGCGTTTGATAACGAGTCAGCCACAGTGTTGCCAGCTTGACGGAATTATCCCCTTTTTGCCATTTTGAGGAAATTTTCTATTTTCGTTCGCAAAGGGTAGAAGCGGAAAGTGGAATTTTTAAAGTCTATTTTTTTTTTTAAAGATGAAAGTCAAAATGACATTATGTTGGCAAAACAATGTTAAATTGTCGATACTTTCAAATTTTTTATGTAGAGAAGGCTTGTGTTGCCAACATAGTTAGTTACTAAATTTTTGACTTGGGGAATTTATCTTTAAAAAAAAAAACAGACTTTACTTTTTCTTTTATTTAGTCGCAAAATTTTCATATTCAATGAAAAATTGGTAATTTTAAGTTTCTAGCACACGATATACAATAGGTATACAGGGTGGGACATTGAACTTTTTTTTTCAAAAACGCGCCATTTTCGAGACATTGAAATGTCTCAATTTAAATGGACCACGCTGTATAATAGGGTGGGTTCCGTTGCCTAACCTGGTTAACCGGTCGGTACAACGTCGGTTGACAACGACAACGATTGACAAGTGGTTGCTGAAAATTTTGGTTTCATACGGAACGTTTTTCCAATCGCAGAATCGCCGCCGGTTGCCTTGGTGACATATTTGACATAACCAACCGCGTTCCGTATAGACCGGTTTTTCAGGAACCAGACATTACGGAACGTGTAACCGTAACCAAGATTGGCAACGGAACCCAGCTTAAGTATGGGTACAACATCTCATTCCCGACTGTAAGTGAAGGCGCAATCATTCTTTTTTTTCCACTACCGCGCGTAAAGTACTTACGTTACGCACCTTTTAGAAGACATATGTCACGCACCAGTGCGTAAAGTAGTTTTTTACTACTAACCTGAGAAGTAGTCATCATTCCATCAATTTTTCTGGGAAAAAATTAAATTTCTCTCCCTAGGTTAATAATGAAAATAATGAAAAAATACCTAGGTCAATAATGAAAATGACGTCATGACGCAAGGATATTGTCATAACATAACAGGTTTCTATTGGTTCAATTTCAGTGTCAAACTGTCAATTTTAAAAAAAGCAGGTTCCTGTATGTACCATCGTTACCAAATATAACTGGGACAAAAATATTTCATATTAATCTCCTGGACTATTCCAAGTTAACCTAGATAAACCTAAAATTATTCATAGTTTGACAAATACCTGGCATCTGAAATCATATAATAGTACAGGAGCTAATATGATGAATGAATATGAAATTACCGTTGAAAGAGGGCAGCAGTTCCGACAAGAGAAAATAATTTGAGCACAGGTTTCGAACCCCTTTTTTTTATTTTGTACCCAGCAGTAGTAAAAAAAATTCTATATATCCGTCGGTAGAGAAAGTCATTATAAACCTCGGCGCTTCGCGCCTCGGTTTATAAAAGCGCTCGGTATATAATAACCAACTTCTCTACCTAGGTATATAATGTACTATTATTTTATGTTTCTTATGCCACCCCATATAAAATGTACTATTTACTTTGAAATTTTTGTAAGTATTAGGGGCCGGTTTATTCAGCTTCTGCTAAACTGATCAGGTAATGCAATCTGTACTGTGTAATCCCATTTGTCGGCCAGTTATCCGCTGACCAATAGGATCATAAATTGGTAAATTTATCATACAGATAGTTACCAGCAAGTTTATCTGAAGATGAATATACTGGGCCTAAATTGTTTTAATTTTTTTATCAGAAAAAAAATTATATAGAACACCTTACGATTACGAACAAACCATTTCCTGACCTTACTTCAAGAAAAGGAACTGCGTTGCACCTATAATTTGACTAGAATCTCGCCTCCCTCTTTACCGATTTTAGGTACCCCTGCTAACTGCTAACACACCCATATTTTCGACTGAGATATATAAATTGTGATGTCATCTGGGGTATCTATTTTTCTCTTCTCGAGCGTCACCTATCTTTAGCAGTGGAAATCCTGTACAGACTTGATGGCGGCTTATTGAACCTGAACAGATTAGGAGCCAAGACGAAAGTATCGAAGACATCGACAAATTGAACTTCAATATGCCACTTAGCTCGCCTAAGAAACTAACGTTAGGTATAAAAAGTGCTTATTCGTAAGCAGCTGAACATTATATCAAAAATGGTTTTAGATTTCATTAAAACAAACTGCTCTGATGGTTCGAACTTCTCTGTTCAAGTACAAAACTGTTCGGGGTATCCTCTATCCTTTGACTGTTCAAAGTAGGAGCACTCTAACTGTTCGGAGTGCTCTGACTATTCGGAGTAGATCACTCACAAATAAATGCGGTAGAGTGCCATTTACCGCATGATCGTAGCTGAAATAAATTTTCATTCATACTCCGATTGAAAACTACTCCAATTTTCGTAACGGCAACTCAGTTATCGAACGCGGTCATGCATTTACAAAGTCAAAATCATATGATTTTATTTGGGATTGGGATTTGATTAATTTATCAAATCTTGAAACACATTTCAATTATCTGTTTTTGTTTTCTATTTTCTAGTCATTTTCCAAAACTAAAAGGTATTTCAAATTGTACTAATTTTTATAATATCTATGTCCTTTTCATTCAATTCTATAGAAAAAAAATTGGTGTGTGAATTAAAAAAAAGCAATTCGATTTCAGAAGATGAATTCAACTGACCCCAGAAGATCCGACAGAATCCAGAGGTATGTGCCACTAGTAAAAAACGGAGAAGACCTCACTCCCGATTATATGAATATCATGGGTAAGTTTTGAAATAAGTTTCAAATATCATTTCCAATTTATATTATGTTTGTCCAGTTTTTTCCTATAAATTCATCAATACTGTCATTATGTCATATCATGAATATTGTTATTGTTAATAACCTCTCACAAGAAGGCTCAACCTAAAAGGAAGCTGCCATGTCAGCCACAGCACAGACCTCAACTCTTGGCGTAAAATGCATCATTTGAGTTTAAAATACTATAGGACAAAAAAAACGAATTCCTAGACGTTAAAATCACCTTCTCTACTTTAATCGACGAAAAAAATAAACTCACAAGCACAGCTTGAATCGCAAGCAATTCATTGAGGTCTGCGGGTGACGTCACCAGTATAAGCTGCTAGTTTTAATGACGTTACTTGCAGACCAGCTGCGAGATTGTCAAACGTATGCTTTATTAGGATGAGCAATCATGTTACGATTCTTGACCTCTTTATCTTCTTTCTATTTTTTGCCATTTTAATAATAGGTGATGCTATTCAGAGGCGTATTCTGGTTGTTATAATAATAATAGCATTTATTAATAGCATCAGCTAATAAACAACAACAAAAATACATCATTACATTAACAAAATATTCAGTATTTAAACATTATTTTAGTTTTCAACAATAAATTCTCTTAACCTAACCTTAAATGTAGCGAAACTTTCATTCTTAATATCACTGGGAAGATTGTTAAACTCTACTAATCCTTTATGAAACAAGCTATTCTGTGCGAAGGAAGACTGGACAGTCGGAACATAAAAATCAAATTTACTTCTAGTATTATAATTATGAATATCAGAGACAAATTGCAACCTATGTAATATATGTTCTGGATACAAACCATTTTTTATTTTATAAGCTACTATCATGGTACAAAAATAAATATTCTGTCTTACACTTAATAAATTTGTCGACTTCAGCATGTCTTTTATTCTTGTGTACCTGTTACATCCTAAAATACATCTTAAAGCTATGTTTTGTTTTATCTGCAGTATGTCTAAGGCAGATTTGGCAAACATGTACGTAATGGAAGCACAGTAGTTAAAATGTGGTAGTATTATTGTTTTATAGATAATTAATTTAGTCCAACCACTTAGGTCTCGACCTATTCTACACAGAAAATATATTTTTTTTGATACTTTCTTAATCAGATACCTCGCATGACTAGAGAATGTTAGGAACTCATCAATAACTACTCCTAAATACTTGAATTCTTTAACCTTGTCTACCTCTACACCATTTATAAATACATTACTATGAGAGTTGATATCTGTACTATAATTCTTGTTTTTTAATAACATGAACTTAGTTTTTTTGATATTAACACTCAAACTATTATCACACAGCCATTTATATAGCCTACCTAAATCTTCATTAATTAATTTTATTAAGTTGAAGTTAAGAATAAGACGGTATCATCTGCAAAAAGTTGCAATTCACAATGTTTAACTACTCTGACAATATCGTTTATGTACAATACAAAAAGGTCCGGACCCATAACTGTTCCCTGTGGTCAAGGGCGGTTTAAAGGGGGGGGTAGAGGGGGTAATTACCCCCCCCAGACAAAGATTTTTTTTAAACACTTAAGAATAAAATTTCAACAAAAGACAAGTTCTATAAAGTAAAGCATAGAAGGCATTGTATAAATTGATAGGCTCACCAGTATCGACGTACCTACTGAAATAAAAGGTATTTCATTTGAAAAAAAAGCTATGGTTGTTTGAAATATCTGGTTTTGTGTACAGTTACAGTATTGCGAACACCCTATAGAATGTTATCAAATTTTCATAGGACCATGAAGTAAATGTAAGTATACACTAACAGCCTGCAAAAAATTTAGCTTAAGGATCTCAAATGAATGAAATGTGTTGGTTTTTGTTGATACATGCAAACTGCGATTTTTTGAAAAAGTTTCAAATATTTCAAAAAGTACTTGAATGTAGAAATTTTCCTGCATTCGAATACATGAAATCTGAATGTTTTTTATGAAGATAAATTATGCGCAAACTTGTAACGTCACACCGGCTAAACTCCGAAATGCCAGCCTCCCGTTCGTTCAGTCCTCAGTGAACCGTGCCCTATACTTTGAGTGGTTGCCATTCGCTCTAATGAGATCGTGGACATTTGTTTTGAAAAATTCTTACACGTGTTAAAACTGTACTTCCGAAGCCGGTATGACGTCACAGCCTAGGCGTTCGTAACTTGTGATGGGTTCAAATTTCAATCCGATTATTGGCTTGATTTCTATACAGTAAATAAATTCATGATCAATATTATGCAATAAATTATCAGTCGTGAGCACAGAAAGTGGGACACCCGTTTTTTTCTATTGTAAAACGGGTTCACCCAGCTATACCTAAGGCAATGACAGGAATTGTCATATTTGACAAAAAATCCATTGTAGAGAAAAGACTGATTTATGCAAAATAGACGGATTTATGCAAAATTACAAGACCTGTCAGTAGAGTGTCCCACTTTTTGGGTTAGTGCAAACGCCGATTTATTGAAAAAGTTCCAAATATTTCAAAAAGGGTCGAGTTTTTATAGAAATTTATAGATTTGCTCACAGATGGGCACATAATTGACCCATTAGTATAGGTAATTCCTAAGAAAAAGTATATAGGATTGTTATAAGAATCCATTAATGTTCTAAAATGTAAGGTGTTCCATTTAAAATAACAAAGGTCTGTCACATACCTCATTTACGGAACACCCTGTGTATATTCAAAAATATTTTAAACTACTAATGGATCTTAGAGTATTAAACAACTTTGTAAGTTAATTTTTTTTTCTTGCATTACCCTGGAAGGAGATATCGTCAACTAAGTGAACACCCTGTATAACTATTTTGCCGGCATCGGGCATTCAGGTGCAAATTTGGGCGTGGCACCCTTAAAAAAATTTAGCCTCCGGCGGGAAGCCATTCGACACTTAATGATTTTCCCGTCATCCATTACCCCCCCCAGAAAATCATCTATGGACCGCCACTGCCTGTGGTACACCATATCTGTTTACTTTCACTGATGAAATGGCATTGTGATATTTTGTCTGCTGCGTTCTAGAGTCCAGATATTCTGTGAACCACTTAAGGACCGTTCCTTGAAAACCATTTTTTTCCAACTTTTGTTTAAGAAGACTACGGTATAATATTTGGGGCAAGTATAAAAAATGTTTTAAAATGACAAACTTGTAAATAGACTCCTTTTTGGAAAACTAGTCTTTCCAAAGGACCCCGCAATATTTAAATGGAAATTGGTTACCCGTGATATTTGGATGAAATTTAAATATGTTATTGGAGATGCTGTAAGCAACATTTTTTACCATAGGCACAACCCTGTATATATGACAGGTGAGGCGTGGTTAGCTGTCAAATATTGGAATCTTATATCTAAAAGCAGAGAAACTATGGCGGATTTTGATGGACAAAAAATCTATTTCTACTAAGTCGACCAAGATAAGTCGAAAAATGTTAACTATTTTGACACCTGTCAAAACCCTGCCAAACGCAGCACTCATCTTTTTCAGTTTTCAATATTTTATGATGTCATTTGACATTTTTAACTTTTATGTAAATTCTGAATTCAAAAATTGAAAAAAAAAAAATGACAGAACCGTCAAAACTTGTCATTTGTTTTAGTAGAAAAAATACTCCAATCTGGTTCTTTCTCGTTTTAAGGTAGTTTATTGGTGATAAAATATTGAACAAAGTTCATGCTCGTCACATTTTGACAGCTGTTACAGTTGATGCAAACTCGGGTTTCTGGAGTAAAACTAATTTCTTCTAAATCGAATCTGCCCATTGTAGAACGTCACTAAGCAATCAAACTCAATATGAACCAAAAAGCTATTAACAGATTTTGACAGTTGTCAAAATGTGATATGCATGAACTTTGTTTAATGTTTTATCATCAATAAATTACCTTGGAACAAAAAAGAACTAGATCGGAACAATGGATTAGAGTATTTTTTCTACTAAAACAAATGACACGTTTTGACAGTTCTGTCTTTTTGTTTTCAATTTTTGAATTCAGAATTTACATACAAGTTAAAAATGTCAAATGACATCATAAAATATTGAAAACTGGAAAAGATGAGTGCTGCCGTTTGGCAGGGTTTTGATAGGTGTCAAAACAGTTGACATTTTTCGACTTAACTTTGTCGACTTAGGGAGGGTATTATAAAACTACTTTGAGAGTTAACTTAAAGTTAACTTTTTGAATTACATGTAATTTCAGAAGTTAACTTTAAGTTACCTCTCAAAGTAGTTTTATAATACCCGCCCTTAGTATAAATAGGTTTTTTGTTCATCAAAATTTGCCATAGTTACTCTGCTTTTGGAAATTAGATTTCAATATTTGACAGCTAACCACGCCTCACCTGTCATATATACAGGGTTGTGCCTATGGTAAAAAATGTTGCTTACGGCATCCCCAATAACATATTTAAATTTCATCCAAATATCACAGGTAACCAATTTCCATTTAAATATTGCGGGGTCCTTTGTAAGTTGGCGAAAATATACAGGGTGATTGGTTATAAAGAAACTATATCAGTCACTGCCAGTAATTTTGATCCAAGCAGGTTTCTAAAATCCCAGAATTCAGATTCAGATCTGCTCGGAGCATATCTAGCAGTTGAAAATAAAAGTATTTATGCTAGGTTTCTTTAATTGTTGTACTAGAGCGTTTTTGTTTGTGTTTTGGCAAAGAACCATGAATTTTAGTTTGTAAATTGCAAATCGTCGGGAACTGTTCAGTACCTGTTCAACCTGCACTTGCTTTCGAGGAGGAGTGTGATAGGGCCTGACTTTGGGCTGGTTTCTCAATAGCAAGTCACCTCAGGGTAAACATTGCAACTGAATGCGCTTACCCTGCAGTTAAGGTGTATTCTCGCGATGCAACACGACGCCGCGATGCAAATTGTCGCTAGATAAATAATTCGTTGTTTTAAATGGAAACATTTCCACCTACACTGCACTACACTTTACATTTAAACCAATAAAATATTTATCAGCAACAATTTGCAGCGTGGCGTCGTGTTGCGTCACCGAGCTGAGTGAAGCGTAAGTGAGAATTGACCTTTAAAACCAACCCAGAGGTGACTCGCTATTGAGAAATCGACCCTTTAATGGTTACTCTCAGAGGAGAAAGGTGTTTAAATTAAGACTATTGTCCTCAAAAATGTTTTGTGAAGGACTCTAGATGTTACAAAATGCATTATACATTACATTGAAAAACGTTGTTTGTTCACAGGTATGGTTTTCAGTATGTGTGGCCTAATGATGCGAATGAAGTGGTGCGCTTGGGTAGCTCTGTGTTGCTCTTGTGTCAGTTTCGCTAACACTCAAACCATGGACGACAATAAGCAAGTATGTCCATTTTTTTTTTTAAATTATTATTGATTTATGTTGGCTAAAATGTGTAAAAAATTCCACCCACACTGAGAGTTTTATACCTATGCTATTGCCAACATATGTTTCAATAGTCAGTTATTAAAAAAAATAAAACAGACTGTGACACTAAAGACTTTTTGCACCCCTTAAAATAACAGCAGTTTTTGGATCAGTTATGGTTACCTTTATCGACGATTACAATTACCAAAATCAGAGATTTTGCAACGCCAAATGTTTACATATTTCCGTTATTCCATTTTGCCTCTGGGCCATGAACTGCGCCTGCGCCTTCGGATGTTAACCAATTTCATAACATCAAAATGATAATCCACGCTTATTTTTTCAGAATTTCAGATGATTTTAATTAATTATTTAATGAAAACGGGATGGAATCTATTCAATTTTCTTCAATGTGGCATCCACACAGTTTTACCATAACCATAGGGTATAGCTATAAGCACAAGGTTATTCCTTCTTAAATAAAGCCGCTCGTTGGGGTTGATAAGTACATACAACGAAATTTTTTTTGCTACTGCGCATACTCAGTATAACGAAAACCACAGCGGAATGGAAAAATAAGAGGTGCAAAAAGTCTCTACTGTGAATGGAAACAAATTCGTAAAATGATCATTGATGACCATGGACAAAGAAACAAAAAATAGTTCATGTGATTTACAAATGAGTTATTTCATCATTGATGCAGATTTTGTCTGCTTCTGCTATAAAAACGTCGCAGTAATTCAATTTCATTTCAATCAAACTAAAAGTTACCTTTTGGAATTACTATGAGAAGGAAAAGTAACGTCATTCCAGAAGTTAACTTTTAGTTATTCTGTCAAAATAGTTCTATAATACCCGCCCTTAGTAGAATAGTTAGGCGAATCAATAGTGTATGAATTATTTTTCAGGTTTTTAGTTCATTCATGCTGTCATTTTCGGCTCTTATAATGTCGTACATGCAAAATCCTACGCCTATGATTCCGCCATGGGCCTCAGCTTCGGATTAAATTTATTGGGATTAGATTAAGTATAAATTAAAAACAATTTTTCATAATAAATACATGATAATTGAACCAATATAAATGTTTTTGAAATCTCAATTTTTTTAGGTATTGAACGCGCTCTCAAAAATTCCAAGCAATGCGCGTGGGTAAATTCACCGGATAACCGCATCAATGGGGTGTAACATTTTGGTGAATTTAGCCACACAAGGGCATTCATTGGTCCCAAATTTGAGTTCGGAATGGGGTTTTAGTGTGATGTTCGCGTAGTGCAGTGTTATATCACGTGATGAAGCTGTAAACGGCAATGTAACACTGAATACACCATCATTTTATAAGTGTCGACACTTTCTACCATTTCGAACATCTCAAAGTTGAGTTCGGAATGGGATTTTAGTGCAGTGCTAAGATTAGAGGTGCTTTCCAGTGACCTATTTGAGTTACTCCTGAGTAGCTCAGGAGTGCTCCACAATTACTTTGCGCGTTCCAGTGGTTAGAGTGTCGTACACTTGAACTACTCATTTCTGTTATCCCCTGCCCCCTCGTGCATCAACCTTTATTTCGGTGTTCCATGCTCCTGGAGTTCGAAATGGTGGGGGTTAAGATGAGAGCGTTCCGGTGCTGCATATGTCGAACAGTTCAAGAGCGTCACACTTCAGGAGCATGATACTCTAACAATTTAGGCACTGGAAAGCAGCTTTGATTTATTCCAATTCTAGCTGTTAAACCGCATGAAAGTGTACAATTAACCGTCACGATTCTGCGCAAAACCCAAAATTGGCGTAGAATCAGAAATTCGGATACAAAGTGGTTTCGAATCCGTTCATTAGGCGGTTTTTAACATGTTGAACAGACCTTTCCAGTACTGCCCATTGTTTAGTTAAGGAAATAAGAAATAACGATCAACAGCTGTAACAACGAAAAACGAAAACCTGTGTTAAGTTTAATAAAGTGTTATTTCAAACGCAATGCGAGATCTACCGGCAGTTTACTGCATGTTTACTGCCTACAGTGCCTAACCAACCTACAAAATTCAGTGATCAAACGTGAGTACGTGAACGGTGAACGTTTTGTGTTGTGTTTTTCTAGTGTTATTTTTCACCTGTTGATTTTGAACTTAAACAACAGTTGTAACCGTTATTTCCAAATAACAGAGATAGTTGAATAACTATTAACTAACAACACATCAGTTTTCGATCGCCGACAACTGTTCGATTCTCCACACTCTGACACTTTTCACGTGGCTCCGGTTTGACTAACCGGGTTACAAAACGGGTAGAGAATGACATAAGTTCTTTTCACGTGGCTCCGGTTTAACTAACCGGGTTACAAAACGGTTAGAGAAATGACATACCGTTTTCTAACCCGGTTACAAAGTACGTGTGAATACCTACCACTCGAATTTGAGCGGTATGTTGCGGTTTGTTAAACCGGAGCCACGTGAAAAGGGTTTATGATTATGATGTGATTTTTATATCTTACCTACACCGAGTTATCGAACGCATTCCTACACTTCAACTCACTGCTTGGCTGAGGCTTATTTACATTGGATTTTAAAAATAGATTTTTTTTGAAATTGTGATGATTATGCTAGTCGTTTGCTGATGAATGTATTTAAAAATTGTTAATTTTTTCCAACATCCATTCAAATGACCTTCCTCACCTCTAACTGATAGTAGCGCGGCCTTGAATTAAGTAACAACATTGTACATAAAACTTTAATTTGATTATAATCAGTCCAAAACGCCTAGTTTATTGAAAATAATATAAAAATATGGGTGATAAGGAAAACAAAACCATTCCTAACTATGTGAAATTCGCTTTTGGAGGAAGTGCAGGGTAAGAACTATTTTTTACTATACTACTTTCTTTATTTGTGTCCGCAAAGCAAATATGTTATTAATTTATTTATCAGTTAAAATTTCTTATCATCAGTGACATATTTTACGTCCTTATATTGTTTATGTTTTAGCTCGTGTTTTAATCATCAAGTTGCTGCATTCTTTCGCTATAGTTTCTGCGAACCCATAATATTGAAATACGTCAGGGAAATTTGACAAAAAAAAGGGCCATCTGTGGAATGAGGCCGAACAAGCTGAATTTTTGCAGAGACCTTCGTTTTGATGTTCTAATGAAGTACAAAAAAATCGAATATGCCTATCCTTGTGCGTCTCGAGATAGGTCAAAGGTCACATAAAACCGTTTTTTTTTTGCGAAAATCTCGCTTCCAGTGCATCTGATGTCGAAGAACCCAAAACAAAACTTACGTAAAATAGTATTTTCTACAAAATTATTCCTATATATTTTTTTGTACGACCAACCGTTTCCGAAATACAGCGTGATAAAGCGGACGCGCGCATTCAAAATAGGTGATACTGTATTATACAGGGTGTCCCCGTTCAACTGGTCAAAAATGCTAGGGTATATAGAGGAACCATAGAGAAGTAATTTGAGATAGGACACCAATGGTCGGAAGTGCGTCATTTCCAAAATACAGGGTGTTGAAATTTAAACAACCCCCTTTCATATCATCTGAAGGGCTAATGTTAGGCTGTTCAAATTTCCAGGGATTATTGATGTAAGTATGATATTTAAAAATTCGTATGATGCACCCCCATTTTCTACCTGGAACCATCCCATAAAAAAATGTATATGAACAATTTTGTAGAAAATACTATTTTACGTAAGTTTTATTAGTGCGTTGAGTTCTTCGACGCCAGATGCACTGGAAGCGAGATTTTCGCAAAAAAAACGATTTTCGTGACCTTTGACTTTCGATATCCCAAGACGCATAAGGGTAGGTATATTCGATTTTTTTGTGCTTCATTAGAACATCAAAACGAAGGTCTCTGCAAAAATTCAGCTTGTTCGACCTCATTCCGCAGAGGAAGTCTAATTTCCCTGGGGTAAAACACAATATTACAATAACTTCTTGTTGAGTTGTCAGTATTTGCATTCACATTGTTAAGCATGAGCGGCTGGCCGGCAAATTAATTCAAATACATAAATAATACAGTAGAGTGTGACGATTAAAGTCCACACTATATGGGAAATTTTCTTATTTCTTACTTCAGTCAAATTTTGAGTTTTGCCTACCAAATCTGTACAAATTTGGAAAATCTTGAATTACTTATTAAAACCAAATTAATTTACCAAGAACTGAGGTCTGTAAGTGGCAAATGGATTTGAGAAGTTTGGTTTCTCGATTTTGGTGTGAGAATTTCCTTATTCTCGCAAAATCTTTGAAGAATGAAGCTCATTTTTCAACAATTTTTATTGACATTTATTTTTCCAAGTATACCTATTGGTAATTGGTACCTTCAAAATTCTCAAACTTAATAGTTATTTTGAGAGGTATTTATACACCCAAGTGAAATGAATGTTTATTCATGAGAAGAAAGTTTAACTCACAAGCCCTAGAGAGTTGGTTAATTTTCTTCAAATGAATAAAAATTTTAACTCGTGATGTAGATATACAAAATTTTATTCCATTATGATCGACATTTGAAAAATTATGTACCTATATCAGGGACCCGGACCGGAATGAAATAACGCTTCCGTTCCGGTTCACAATGTCTTCTACGAAAAATATTTCGATTCGGTTCCGACCAATAATTTCGGTTTTAACGGTTCATACCGGTATTTCTTTCCATCATAAATTACCAGAAACTTTTTGTGGAAGATACAGATTTATTTTCAAATTCACCTGTGTCGACTTCGGGTTCTAAAGAATTTACCTCTTTTAGTGCAAGTAATCCAGGGCTGGCTCCAGACATTTCGGCGCCCCGTGCAAAAGGTATTTTTGCCGCCCCTCTTAGGTACCGATTACTTTCCTACTTTCTAGTTCCAGTAATACCCTCGGTACTACCTATTTGCTGAACTTACTTTTGATTTTAATTTTGTTCATTGTCCTTATATGATATCAGAGCTGTTTCGAGTACAGGCGAAATGTAGTCGGGTACCGGGTACAAGTACTTTGCTCAAAATGCACTCGAGTACAGAGTACAATTACAAATATTCAATACCGAAATATTCAAAGTATTTATGAATACATTCCACACAATGCCACCTGCATATCAATGATGTCTTATAGTTATTTACATTACGAGTGCGTTTATGAACATGATTACAATAACGAGTGTGAAAGATTAGAATGACGAGGTCGTAGACCAAGTCATTCTAATCATACGAGTTTTGTTGTCATGTTTAAACGCACGTGTGATTTACAACTTTTTATCTACAAAGCGAAAAATAAGATTTATTTTCAAACATTTTCGTTTATTAGTCGTTGTATACGTTCATTTTACCTTTACAGGTTTACCTTTGACATTCGTCAAATCTGTTGAAATATGTATCCGAAAGGATAATATAATATACAAAAACAAATCTACCTTACCAGGAATCGACCTGAGAATTGACAAAGAGCAATAAACCCAAAAGGTTGGAATTTATTGCCTTATTTATTTATTGTACTTGGGTATTACTTTTTGCGTTGTAAATGTATTTTTTCCACACCCCGAAAAGGTTTAGGGTGTGAAGATGAAATATAAAAGCTAAAGTTAAGTTAGTCGTTCTGTTATGTTTTAAGACGAAACATTGAAATATATTATCGTGCCTTAAAACGTATCTATCGTGTTTTAATTAAACCACTGATAACCTGAAATATTTAATAGGTTATGGTCCCCAGTTTCGCGTAACACTAATATTGTTACTCAGTGGTGAATAAACGCAATTAATAGACTTTCGAAAACATGGAAAATCGCGGCGCGAGCAAAAGAAACATCCAACCTTTTAATAGTGACCGGTACGGTGTTTGGAAGTTTCGAGTAAAATCATTGCTAACGGAATTAAACATTATCCAGGTGGTTGACAGTGAAATTCCCAGTGATCGTAGTGATGAGTGGCTCAAAAACAATAACATTGCAAAAAGTGTGATCATTGATAACTTGAGCGACTCATTTTTGGGTTTCGCTAAAGGACCAACTACAGCGAGAGAGGTATTTCAGAAGTTAGATGAAATATATGAGCGGAAGAGTTTGGCCCAATGACATCAAAACACAGATAGACGGATCATCCCATTCATAAAGTATTATTTGTTGTGTTGACAAGACCACCCATGGGCCAGGGGAGGTGAGTTGCTCGCGGGGTCGGGGTAGGGAGACATCATTGCTCAAAATGGTGTAAAAAACCCTGCCCACACGTGAATATATCTCGAAATTTAATTGGATGAATAAATAAAATAACAAATTGACAAATAAACTGAAAATATTCGATACGAGCCCTTTATTCTGGGAGTACCAATATCGTGTTAGTCGTTTCTTGTTTAACGCTAATGAATAATCCTTGTTTGCAATAAAGATAGCTAGCTACTACAATCAACACCTGCCTGCCATTCAACAAGCCGCTTCTGGGCGGTGTTTTGCTATAATCTGCTGTTGCCAAATTGAGTTCAGAAATAAAATTGAAAATGTTAATTAGAGGAGAAAAATATATTATTTAGGGATTCAAGACAAAATTTGGCATTCTCAGTGGTGGGGATAGCACAAAGACCCAAAAGAGACAGAGAGATGTTGTCATACGAAAATTTTGTTTATTGTTCGGTCTATCTGTGTTTTGATGTCATTGGTTTGGCCTCACAGTTGGCATTAAGAAAGAGACTTCTGACTTTGAAACTACACGGAGATATTAGTTTGTTACAGCATTTCACAAACTTCGATGATATCGTCACCAAATTAATAGCCGCTGGAGCCAAAATTGATGAAATGGACAAAGTTTCACACCTTTTGCTAACTCTACCGTCATGCTATGACGGAGTTATCACAGCTTTGGAAACATTGAGTGAGAATAATCTCAACTTATCCTTTGTCATAACCAGGCTGCTCGATCATGAGGTTAAATTAAAAAATGATCGGACGACCACCAGTCTAAAAGTGCTCAATGTTGGAACACATTTACCGGCGGCAGATGGTAAAGGTAAAATGCAATTTAAAAAGAAAAAGCATTTCAGGAAACCATCCTACCAACATCAAAACAAATCCAGAGACTAGACACGCCGATTCAACTCGCAGTGGCCAAGAATGAAACCACTGTTACTGCCTTTGAAAAAGGAACCATCAACGTCGAATCCAATCTTGGTGTTCCGGGAAAACTAGAGAATGTTTTATACATTCCCGATGCAGTTTACAACATTCTTTCAGTTCGCCGCATTCAAGCGTGTGGTATGACCGTTGTATTTGACCAAGATGGGGATAAAATTCTACACGGTAACAAACTTCTGGCAACAGGTAAGCCATTAAATGGTCTAACTAGAATTTCATTCAAAATAATAAGAAATTGCAGTTCTAAGATTGAGCCACAGATTAATGTGATTAACAATAAACACTACCAACTTTGGCATGAACGTTTAGGTCATGTCAGTAGCCAATCATTTTTAAAATTAAAGCAACATCAAATGGTAGAAGATGTTAACCACATTGACAATCTTAGTCCTGCAAACCATACCTGTGAGGCTTGCATATATGGTAAACAAACAAGATTGCCTTTCTCTAAAGCTAAATCCAAAAATCATGTTCAACGACCTTTGTTTATAATTCATTCGGATGTTTGTGGACCCATATCACCCATTACTATCGATGATAAAAATTATTTTGTCACTTTTATTGACGAATTTACTCACTACACAGTTACTTACCTGATAAAATATAAATCAGAGGTTCTTTCCGTCTTTAAAGATTTTATTGCTAAAGGCGAAGTTCATTTTAACTGTAAGGTAAAGTCCATTCCAAAATAATTCGTTGACTCTTCAAGTATGAATAAAATGTTGATGATACCCTCAACCA